CAGTTTTAAACCTCAGGTGTGTGGTTCTAAGCTCTATCTCCATGGGGTGTGTGACTGCTGTGGCTGGTAATGTGCTTTGGGAAAAGGACAGCTGTCCAGGTCAGCCCTGGTGAACTTGAAGATAGAAAGGAGGTGAGCCTTAAATAGGAGAGCGAGCCCCAGCATCACAGATCCACAGCCATTTTACCATTTAGCAATATCCCTATCTTGCAGTTCCTTAATGAGCTAATTTACCTCTGATCCCTCAAATGGAAAAATCATGTTGAGATGGGTGATGATGACACTCCCTAGGCTGTCATCTACTGGCTGTGAGGATCTGAAGGGGAAGATGCTTGAGGCTTCCTGGTCCCTGTCTGTTGGCCTCACTAGGCTCTGTCCTGCCTTGGTTTTTATCCCTAGCACCATCTGGTTCTTGCCTTTAATTTCTGCAGGAGGTAGTAGTCAATAATGGATCCAAGGGGGGAGGCATGATTAGAACAGCCCCTGACACAGCATCCTACAACCATACCAGCTACCAGCTGCCCTCACACCAGGTCAAAGCCTCTCCATTGCCCCAAGGACTTTCCCTGTCTTTGTTGCTAGATTTCAGCTTCTATTTCTAGTTCCTCTAGGGTGATTTTGGAGAAAGGAGCTCTTGTTGTTTCTTGGCAGGAACTAGAATGTATTATTTTTGGTACAAAATCTTTAGAACATGTAGTCCATGGAGGTAGGAGAATAAATCCTGTTAAGGATTTGGTCTTTACCCGAAGAGCCACTGAAGATTAAGATGGGTGATGACATCAGATTTTACTTTGATGAGATTACTCTGGCAACTATGAATATTTGTTGATCAGATTAAAGGAGAGCCAGAGTCAACACAAGGAAACAGTTAGAAGGTCCTTAGGGTTGCCCAGGTGAAAGATAAACGGTGGATTAAAGCAAGGTGATGGTAGAGATGAAGAAAAGTAGATGAATGCTACAGTACTTGTGTAAACTGCTGGATCTTGATGATAGACTAGATTTATAAGGCAATCACAAAAATAGAAAATAGCAAATTTAATACTTACATTTTGGGTTGGCATAACTGAATGGACATCTTTTTTTTCTTTGGGAGAATGGGAAGGGAATGATCAGTTTTGAGCATGTGCACTTGAGAGGGCTTTGAAATACCCTGAATAGATAGATGTCAAGCTGAGCATACAGGCTATGGGGTTCAGAGAAGACAGCTGAGCTAGATAGGTGACTGGTGTTTATAAATGGATGAAGTGGCCTTGAAAGTTCAGAATGTGAAGACAGGCTGGGAATGAGCTTTGAGGAACTCAACATTTAATGGCTGTGGTGCACAATGGGCTTAAATTGTGTTGAAGCTGCACCCTCCAGGACCCAGCATGCGACTGTATCTGGAGACAGGGCCTTTAAAGAGGTGATTAAGGTAAAATGAGACCACTATAGTAGGCCCTACTCCAACCTGAGAAGTGTCCTTGTCAGAAGAATGAACAAGCCGGCGCCACAGCTCACTAGGCTAATCCTCCGCCTTGCGGCGCCGGTACACCGGGTTCTAGTCCCGGTCGGGGCGCCGGATTCTGTCCCGGTTGCCCCTCTTCCAGGCCAGCTCTCTGCTGTGGCCAGGGAGTGCAGTGGAGGATGGCCCAAGTGCTTGGGCCCTGCACCCCATGGGAGACCAGGAGAAGCACCTGGCTCCTGCCATCGGATCAGCGCGGTGCGCCAGCCGCAGCGGCCATTGGAGGGTGAACCAACGGCAAAGGAAGACCTTTCTCTCTCTCTCTCTCCCTCTCTCACTGTCCACTCTGCCTGTCAAAAAAAAAAAAAAGAATGAACACACAGACATCAGGGATGTGCATGCACACAGCAAATACCAGGTGAAAAGCCAACAGGAGGGCGGTCGTCAGCGATCTACAAACCAAAGGCCTCAAAAACCAAAGTCTGTGCATCGCATCTTGGAATTAAGGCCTCTTGGAACTGTGAGGAAGTAACTTCCTGGGGCTCAAAACACCCAGTCTGTGGCACTGTTATGGCAGCCCCAGGAAACTAATACTCTGGGTTAAAAGATTTGGGGTGGGGGGTGCAATTTGTGAAGATAGAAGATAAGCTCCTAGAGGGTTTTTGTTTTGTCAGAGTATCTTGTCACAGAAACCATGGCAAGTATTTCAACAAGGCGGAAACGGTCTACAGTGCTGAACTCTGCTGAGGTCAAGGTGAGACCTGAAAAAGATCCTCTGGCTCTCGTGACTTGGAGGTCACCAGGATCCGTAACAAGGACTCTTGGTGGAGTGACACGGCAGAAAGAGGTGAGTGGCAAGGGAAGAAAACCATGAAGACAACTTCCCTGAGACTGGGCCGTGACAGGCAAGGGGATGGGGCATTAAGATTTTTTTTTAATGAGAGAGACTTGATCTAAGTGTGGGCAGAGAGGAACAGTTGGTCATTTTCTGGCTGGTGGAGGGTCCTTGGTTTTTAGGCAATCCTTGCTTCCTACTATAAAATGTCAGTTTGACTTACCCTATAATTAGTGCCATTTACTGTCACTTGGTTGGCTGGTGTTCTATTTTCAGTGTGGTGGTGGGTCTCACTTTAAAGCCATTGGTATTTTAGTGACAAGTTAGGGAGAAAATTCAAAGGGCAGTTGCTACTCTCCAGAAAAAATGACAAGTCTTCTGTATTTTTAAGTTTTATGTTGAAATACTTAAGCCATCTGGAATTTATGATATAGGGTGGAAATCTTTCCCAAAACTGATAGCCAGTTATTTCCAGGCCATTTTAATTCAACATATACTTTGAGTATTTACTAATTGTTTTGGGTGCTACAAAATATGAGCTAATCTTAAAAGCCTGAATCCGTAGGCAACGGTTAAGTAAATTATCCCAAAGAGTGCAACAGGAGGTACAACACAGTAAATGTCAAAAATCCAGCCAACAGCACCAAGTGGTAATGTAGGAAACTGCAAATTATGGGGGAAGGTAAGTAGGGCTTCAGTGAGTAGACAGCCCAACACAGAAAACACACTGGCCTAGAGACAGTTTCAGGCTCTAAAATGGCTGACTCAAGCTATATTTGAAGAAGTCTAACTTAATAAAGATCGGAGGCAAAAAGTAGAAGTTGTAGGTTTATTATAAGGTAAAGTCTACTAAAAAAACCTTCAAGAGATTTTACATAGAAAGTTTCAATCCACTCGTATTCTTCACTATCTCAATGAGCAGGGTTTAATACAGATGTTTAGGACAGTGTTACCATTTGAACAGGATATGGCTCAAAGGCATTTAAATCCCAAAGTCTTTCGTTAATGGCTAGTAGATCAATGTTAATGGTTCATGGAGACTTGATCTGAGGCAGCCCAACCGGAGATCTATAGGTCACTGGGGTTTGTGCCCTTAAGGTAGCTCTCAGGAGAGGGTTGGTGGCATAAGCCAAGTGTGCTTCCTCACTTGCCACTGTAATCGTCCCTCTGCAGAGTTCCACTATCCTCATCAGACAGCAGACTAAAGGGATCTTTAGTCTTGGACTAAAGATCTTGGACTGTGAACCTCCAAACTAAGCCAAAATAAACTTCCTTCCTAAGTAGTCTCTCTCAGGTACTTTAGTTAAAGTAATAAAAAGCTGATGCAGATAAAATGCTCATCTGTGAGTAAAATTTTGTGCTGTCCTCAGAGGGAAGGACTAGATGGCATCAAAGACGTGTGTGGAAGAAAAAGAACATCTCTGGGATCAACCGAGTAGGTAGCTTCTTTTCTTTCTTTCCAAACAACAATACCTCTTTGATGGGAAGAGTGAGGGATTATAAAAGAGAAGAAAGATTTTCAGGGACGTAGGAGGGCAGTGAGGAGGTGGGCAAGCAAGGCAAAGGGTGGCGCTGCTTCAGGCAGAATGTGCTCTGAGGGTTTTTGGATCTCTAGTGTTGTTTTCCCTACTTACCAGGAGGCAAGGATGCATGGTCCCAGACAGAAAAAGCCCATCGGGCTGCAGCACGGCAGACAACTCCCTCAAATGGTCAGCTGTGTTCCCTTTAGTTCCTTGCTACAAGGCTTCTCTCACATACCCCGAAACATCCCTAACTAGTTCTATGTACTCTGCTATCAGAAATGAGAACAGCATTCTAGAAGGGTCCACAGCTTTTGCAGAGTACCCAATAAAGCTTTCTTTGCATTTGCTAACATCTCACCTATTTGCATTTACTTTGCTGTGTTATTCAGAAGCACCTTGTAGTTCAAGTTAGGTTTCACTATATTCTTCCTTTTTCAAATTCTGATTCTGGCTCTAGTTGCAGAAGAAACTTAAGATGCAAGTCAAGAGGTTAAGGGCTGGTGGGAAGAGGAGTAAAGAAATACAAATGTATGATCTGATAAGTCTCCTTCTGATTGAAGGGTGAAGGAGTCAAATACAACAGGAAAACCTAGTGCTAAAGGAACTACCTGCTTTAGAAAGTCATGGTTCTGGCTCCAACTGCAGTAGCTAATAGCCAGGATGGGTCCCCTGCACTACAGGGGAGAAGAGGCATTTATGGCACTCTGGGAGTTGAGGGCCTCAAAGCAGCAGCAATCAACTCTGACACTTCCAAGAAAGTGTGAAGAGCCACAACTTACAAAGTCTTCCCTCAGTACTTCTCTGGTGGTTCTTGGTCCTCTACCCTCTCAAATTCCACTTGTCACCTTGTGCCAGCTTTGTGTCATTTTCATAATTGATTTCTCACAGCTAAACGGCATTAGGCGGATAGGAGAAGTCACATTTGACCCACCTCTAGGTCACCATGCTTTCTTCCAGACCTCGATGTGCTGAGCAGTCCAAAAAGAAGGGGGTAGGGAGGAGTGCCACCTGTCTAGTTCAAGAATCTTTCTTCTCAGCCTCCACCCAGGTCCTGTCTTTTGAAGGCATGAAGGGCTGAAGATGCTTCCTTCTCCCAGAGCCACCTTGTACTATTACTTCTCCCATCTCCTTAATCCAAACAGCCCTTCTCTCTGTAAAGGAGGGGAAGCAAACTAGATGTAGGGGAAATAAAGCAATGAAATTCTTAGAGATAGAACATTTATTATTATGCAAGTAGCAATGCAAACTGGGGCCCAGGGGCTTTCCAAAACAGGAAATTTCCAAATTTCCAAAACAGGAGATTTCATGGAAAATGTGTATTATCTTTTAATTCTACTTTCCATGGACTTTCTGAAGTAAGCTGGTAAATTGTGTGTCCCTGTATTACAGGTACCAAATCAGAGTAATATACCCAGCAGAATAAACTCAGGATTCAGAAAACAGACCGTCTCAGAGGGCCACCAGATCTTGACTCCTTGCTGAAATACTCTGACAGTAGCTCTGGGAAAATATCTTATTAGCTGTTTGCTGAAAACTGGATCTGATGCTGGGCCAAATGTTAAGGCACCAGCTGTCTGGAGGAGGAAGAGGAAGACTGTGAATGAAGGGCAGCAGCCTTGCTTCTAGGAAAATAGTATCTGAAGAGGATGGTCAAGGAGGCTATTTCATCACGTAAACTGATGTTACCAAAACTGGCAGGTCTCTAGTTCAGAATTATTGTGATAACTACTCCAGTATTGTACCTTAATTCCCTTTCACCACATCATAAATGCGCCCAACAGTACCATTGTTATGTGATGCATTAAAACTCGTCTAATTATGCAAGTACATAAAACATGACTTCTCACCAGGCTTCACTAGTGATTTAAGTGTCTTGAAGAACATCACTAAGTGGATACATCTCAGTAAGTAAAAAAGATGGAGTTTCTGTATGACTGTAAGATATGAGGATCAATTCAGTTCTTTCTGGTGATTTTGGACTTAGCAAAATAATTCAAATAATGCTAACATATTGAAGAGGTCACCAGAAGAAAATACTGGTTTAGCCAAAGTAGATTATAACTTAATGATCAGAGTGAACTTCACATACTGCCTTGTAACAATACATCCAAAAGGCTCAGAAATAAAATAGTTCACTGATTTAGGTAAAGGGTTTGTTTTAGAATGATGGGCTCAGAATTAGGCTTTGGGCCGGCGCCACGGCTCACTAGGCTAATCCTCCGCTTTGCGGCGCCGGCACACCGGGTTCTAGTCCCCGTCGGGGCGCCGGATTCTGTCCCGGTTGCCCCTCTTCCAGGCCAGCTCTCTGCTGTGGCCAGGGAGTGCAGTGGAGGATGGCCCAGGTGCTTGGGCCCTGCACCCCATGGGAGACCAGGAAAAGCACCTGGCTCCTGGCTCCTGCCATCGGATCAGCGCGGTGCGCCGGCTGCAGCACGCCGGCCACGGCGGCCATTGGAGGGTGAACCAACGGCAAAGGAAGACCTTTCTCTCTGTCTCTCTCTCTCACTGTCCACTCTGCCTGTCAAAATAAAAAAAAAAAAGAATTAGGCTTTGGTCCACTGATTGGAAGAGTCGCTAAGGAAGTGATGTGAAAAAGATTTAACACAAGGGAATTTCAAAAAGTTCATGGACAGGTGGAATTAAGACAGTTGATGGGGTTAAGCAGCTGCCTGGAATGCCCACAGCCCCTATTAGGGTGCCCACTGAGTTCTGGCTACTGTGTTTCCAAACCAACTCCCTGCTAATGCATGCTGAGAGGCAGTGGATAAGAGCTCAAGTGCTTGGCCCCCTGCCACATACATGCGAGACCCAGATGGAGTTCTTCAGCCTGGCCCAGCTCTGGCAGATAATAGATCTTCTTTTACCTCTCTGTTGCACTGCCTTCCAAGTAAATGCAAGTTTATTTTGCTACATAATAAGACCTTTGTATGTATAAATTTAAAATTGTTTTTTGAACCCAAATACTTAACTTCATTTTCCATGAACTTTTTGAAGCTACCTAGTACGTTACAAAATGGCAACTGTTCCATTACTTCTCCCCTACACGTATCTTTTAATCTGCAGGCATCCAGGAAGGTTTCGGTGTATACATTAGATACAGACAACTTGGAAAGTGTTGGCTTGTGGCTCCCTAAAGAAGAGTAGAAGGAAGAAAGCAGCAGGAGAGGGTACGGCCTTGGATGACAGTACACCACCAGAAAATGCACCAGATTATCCCCCTTGAGCTGAGAAAACATACCATTAGATAACACACAAAAGGATACATGTAAGTTGGGATGCCTCGTGCTGCCAAGTGTTTCCGAATAAGTCGCTCAGTACCATACCAGTTAAAATCTTTTGTGGCATGTCCAATACGTGGCAGATGAACACTTGCTATTAAAAAAAAAAAAAAAAAAAGAGAGAGATCATGACATCTTCACTCATCAAAAGTTCATTGATGGTTACAAAATACACACAGGAGAAAATAACTGAAAGTTCCACTCAAAGAATACAATCACAATGCCAAAAATATCTGGGGAGGGACTGTAATAGGGGAAAAAATGAGTAATTCTATTGAGCACAAGGAGCTGGAGGCTCTGCGAATAAGGAGATGGAAGATGATTGATGGTGGAGTCACAATTAAAATAAGCAACGAGTATCTAACAAGCTAATCAATTCCATAAACATTGAAACACTTGGTTTAGAAGCTAAACTCAACTCCTTTGGCAGACAGTGTATGTTACTGGGGACTACGTCTCTCCAAGGGCAGAGACAATAAACAGCACATGATCAAGTTACTTCATCTGCCCTGCTCTGCTTCCTCATCTGTCAAATCACGATAAAAATACCCAGCAGATGGCGATGGTCCGCAGAGATAATGGGTATAAAAATGACTCGCAAAGGAAAAGCTGTAAAACAAAAGCTGAGGGGTTTCTTACTCCCGTGGTTTACCCTCACCATGCATGCTGAATGGGGTCTTAAGACTTCTCACCTCCCTTCCAAACTTAAGTCACAGTTCATTGACACCTGAGCAAGGTGTTAAAAGTTTACCTTTCTTTTTCTTTGCTGCTAAAAATATCTTCTTCAGGCCCTCTTCCAGGGCTGCCATCTTAATGCCAGAAAGGACATTGGAGCGATCACGGTGCTGAGCCACGACCAAGGCCAACTAGGAAGAACAACCATTAAAGGAGTGCCATGAGACAGCTATGTGGCCACCTGAGGGACCTGCCCATGGAGGGGACACAGCCCTTTATGAATCCAGCTCTTGATGTTCTGCCTCCTCTACCCTACTAAATGTCTGCCCTCATGCCCCATCATTTCCATTCTGATTTTCTGGTAACTTTATGTAGGCCTTTCTTCCTTTTTAAAATGACATTAAGGGGCTGGCGCTGTGGAGCAGCAGGTAAAGCCACCGCCTGCAGTGCCAGCATCCCATATGGGTGCCACTTTGAGTCCCGGCTGCTCTACTTCTTTTTTTTTTGGCAGGCAGAGTGGACAGTGAGAGAGAGAGACAGAGAGAAAGGTCTTCCTTTGCCGTTGGTTCACCCTCCAATGGCCGCCGTGGCCGGCGTGCTGCAGCCGGCGCACCGCGCTGATCCGATGGCAGGAGCCAGGAGCCAGGTGCTTTTCCTGGTCTCCCATGGGGTGCAGGGCCCAAGCACCTGGGCCATCCTCCACTGCACTCCCTGGCCACAGCAGAGAGCTGGCCTGGAAGAGGGGCAACTGGGACAGAATCCGGCGCCCCAACCGGGACTAGAACCCGGTGTGCCGGCGCCGCTAGGCGGAGGATTAGCCTATTGAGCTGTGGCGCCGGCCCGGCTGCTCTACTTCTAATCTTGCTCTCTGCTATGGCCTAGGAAAGCAGTAGAAGATGGCCCAAGTCCTTGGGCCTCTGCACGCACGTGGGAGGCCCGGAAGAAGTTCCCGACTTTGGATTAGCATAGCTCCAGCTGTTGCAGCCAATTGGGGAGTGACCAGTGGATGGAAGACCTCTCTGCCTCTCCTTCTCTGTGCAACTTTTTCAAATAAATAAAACGATATTAAAACCAGAGTCCAAAGCATGTACTTCTTCCCCCTTTAACTAAAAAAATTATGTTTATATATGTATAGAAATATGCATAACTATTTCCTCAAACATTTATCATTTCTATGGTACAAACATTCAAATCCTTCCAGTTTTTGAGAGAAACACAGTCCATTATCTACTGCTGCTCTACTGTGCAACAGAAAATCAGAACTTCTTATCCATATCTAACTTTATAATACAGGACCATCAGTCACACTCTCCCCAGCCCTGGCAACCCCCGTTACACTGTCAACATCTACAATAAACTTTTCTAGCCACCACATGAGTGAGATTGTGCAGTTCTCGTCTTTCTGTGCTGGCTTATTTCACTGAATGTGATGACCTCTAGGAGTTGCATACGTGTTGCTGCAAATGACAAGATTCCATGCTCCATTATGACTGAGTGGCACTCCATTATACAAATGTACCACATGTTCCTCACCCACACATCAGCTGACGGACAGCTGGGTTGGTGCCATCTCTTGGCTATTGTGACTAGTGCTACCATAAACACAGGAGTGCAGATGTCTCTTTGGCTGATCTCCTCTCTCTTGGATATATACCCGCGAGGAGGACTGCTGGATCATATGGTAATTCTATTTTTAATTTTCCAGGAACCTCCAGAGTGAAAAACATTTACTTTGTAAATGCTCTCAAGGGTAAAGAATTTTTCAGAATCTTAGGAATTAACAGGACTTGGGAGGTTCTTGTATCCAAGCCCTCCAACTGATGCCAGAGTCAGTCTACAAGCCCTAGACAAGCAGTCATTCCATTCTGTTCAAACAGTTCCCAGGAGGACAAAATGCCAACTGTCTCCCTACACAAACCTAAGTGGGACACAGCTGAGGGTGGCAAGGGGACTTCTGGGGTAACATTGTTACAATCCCATCAGACACGGCCCTGGGCTTGCTGTAAACCATTTTCTTGAGTCACCGAATGCGAAGTTTCTCATGCATAAACTGTGACACTCTCATTGCTTAGTATTTTAGAAAGTACTGAGTGAGTGACTAAACAAAAGGAACCATTTTGTTGTTGGCCACATAGACCACCAACCTCAAGGGGATGGGTCTTTCAGCCCGGTGCCTAAATTTCTTCTTTTGCAACTCAGTAAGATTTGGCTCAAAATTCAGTATGGATTCAGGCCCTGGAAAAAGCTAGGCAGGAGTGTTAAAGCTCCTACTAGGTCTCCCGAATGACAGGCCAGCAGGAGACACTTGAGGTACAAATGGGGGACTGCAGTGTGAACAGGAAAGCTGGGTGGTTTCTCTCCCCGTCTGGCTGGCTCGAAGGCACCATCTTAGACAGAAAATGTTCATATAGTGATAGAACCCTCAGTTTCAAGTCCTGTTTTCTTACCCATTCAGTGATTGCTTATTGCTCATTTCCTCTGAGCTAGTACTGTGTGGGGTACAAAGGATAAAAGAGTCTGATATACGGGAGGGTGTAGGCCAGGGGGTGGGATAGGACAGCTTCCAGGTCAGTGGGAACCTGAGGGATAGGGGAAAGGCAGTGGAAGCAGTGGGGCCAACCAGTTTGTGCTCCCCCAAAACTCAAATGTTAGACATTGTTAAGATAAGGCCTGCCCTTGGCCAGCACCATGGCTCACTTGGCTAATCCTCCACCTACAGTGCTGGCACCCCGGGTTCTAGTCCTGGTCGGGGCGCTGGATTCTTTCCCAGTTGCTCCTCTCTGCTGTGGCCCGGGAAGGCAGTGGAGGATGGCCCAAGTGTTTGTGCCCTGCACCTGCATGGGAGACCAGGAGGAAACACCAGGCTCCTGGCTTCGGATTGGCGCAGTGCGCTGGCCATAGCAGCCATTTAGGGGGTGAACCAACGGAAGGAAGACCTTTCTCTCTCTCTCTCTCTCTCACTGTCTAATTCTGCCTGTCAAAAAAAAAAAAAAAAAAAAAAATTGAGGCCTGCCCAATCTGGCTGTAGTCACGAAGAGAAAATCTGGACACACAGGAAGACGCAGGGATGCACATCCAGAGGAAAGGCCATGTGAGGACACCGTGAGCAGACAGCCATCTATCCGCAAGCCACAGAGAAAAGCCTCCTAAGAACCCAACTCTGCTGACAGCCTGATCTCAGCCTTGCAGCTTCCAGAACCGTGAGGGAATACATGTCTCTTGTTTAAACTGTTGCGATGGCAGCCCTGGCAAACCAGTGCACGGTGGCAGAGGCCAATGGAGGCAGGAGAGGTTTAGAGAAGTTGATGTGCGCCAGATCTTAGCTCTGGTAAGAGATGTGATAGTTCTACTTACCAAATCTTGACCTTTGCTTCTTGACTCCTTATCATCAATAGGAAACAGAAGGACACTTCCCAGACTCAAGTCTGTAGTAACAAAGAACAGAAAGAACGTGAAGGTCACTGAAAGGGGACCAGTCTGGTTGCTCTGTACCTTGCCTTCCTTTTCCAGATCCACTTAGGTTTCAACCCCAACGCCCTTCAGAATATTTCACAGGCTTTTCTCCCTCTTCTGGCCTTCGTCAACACCTCAGCCAGGTACTCATGCACATATCTGAGTGCTAGTGATTTCCTAATTCAATGCCCTTCCAGTGTTACCAATACAGTATCCCTGTAGGCACTGGAGAGAATGCAAAACCAGAGCTCCTGGGGGCTGGGCAGGGAGCGCAGTGGGCTAAAATTCCTTTGAAACTCTTGGTTTGTCTCAAATCATTCAAATATTGCATTCTATTATATCTATATAGCTACTAGTATATACTTTCCCTGTCCCATCTAAATCAAATAATATGATGCTCTAGGTTAATGTATTACTTTAATTCTATGGCTTTACATAACTCAGTTTAAGCTTTTTGTCCAAAAAAAAAATAGATGGAAAAAATAGATTAGAAACTCCATCTTTTAAGCCATTCTAAAATACTGGGTCTGCTATACCATTCCAATCTCCCAAAGGACAGACTGTTACCCATCGGTACAGTAGGTGTTCTGGTGTTACAAGAAAGAGACACAGTGAGGGAGCCTCACGCCATTTCTACCTGTTCACATTCATCCCGTATGTTCTGGCCCAAAATAATGTTCACTGTCTTCAGGAAGTCCACAGTCTCATCTACTCTGCAGAGCCCTATTTCAGCCCTCCTTCAGAGGAACGTGCACACGCATCGCCACCTCCTCGGAGAGCACTCAGACCTCAAGTCCATGCAGTCAGGTCTTAGTCTTCACGTTCCCTTCAAAGTGCTCCAAGGTCATGTGACTGTGGAACAAATCCAGTGGCACTTCAGGGTCTGATTCTGTAGGCCACTTCTCCTCCTTGTACCTCAAAATACTAGATTCTCAAGGTTCTCACATTTCCCTGATAACTCCCCCTGTGTCTTCTTGCCTCAGCTCCTAAGTGGAGGTGTTTTCCATGGCGTGTCCTCTGCACTCCCATTTCTCCCTCCTGGTTTCGAACGAGGACTCCAAACAGTGATTTCTTAGTCTGTGCCTCTGGCTCTGACCTTTCCTGAGTTCTCTGCTTTTCCAACTGCTCAATCGATGTCTGTTTCTCGGCTGACTATTTCAGCACGCATTCAACTCGTCCTGGTCATTTATTTTAATAGAAAGAATATTCACTATTCACTCTATATCTTTGCATCTGTTTCCACCCTACAGAACTGGGCAGAATTAGGAAAAACAAAGAAATACGGAGGATCCTTTTCTACTGGACAACTTTATTTAACCTCTCCACTCCATCAATTTTATTTCTTTTTCCATTTTATGATTCCTGAACATAAAAGGAGATACCCCTTTTGTTTCTCTATGCCAAGGGACATTACTGTTTGGCTTTCCAAGTTCTCTTGGCTCCAGATAGCTTTATTTCCATCGCCACGGTGCTGTATCCCAAGCTGCACTGACCTCCCACACTCATGTTAGCATTTTAACAGTGTGTCCACTTTCTCTCCAGCAGTCTCTGATGCTCTCATGAGATATTCCCGTATGAAGGAGGGGTGACTTGGCTAAGTAATGAAGCCATCATCATTCCACTGCTTTCAGCGTGTATGCAGAGACTGACACTTTTCACAACACTTGCACAATCATCATCCTCACCAGCGTCCCGTGAGGGAGGTGCAACAAGTATTATTCACACATTACAGATGGCGATAACAGCCAGAGAGAAGGAAAAGCACGGCCTCAAAGCCACATAACAAGTAGCTAATGATGTCAGAATGCAGTCTCCAGCCAGTTCTGCTCCTCACCTGGTGCCTTCTAACCCACAGGATACTGTCCTGAGTGTCCTCCCTGTCTTGGTCCATCCCTAATCCTTCCTTCTGCCATGCTTCTTACCTTTCATTTTCCCAGCCAGCTCATACACTTTTCTTGGCTCAGCAGATCGTGTTTCCAGAGCTGTGAATAAACCACCTCTGCCCCAGCGGCCGGAGTCATCTGATAGAAGAAAAAGAAATTTTTCATCTTCGGGAAGGTGGGGGGAAGAGGCAAAGTCCAGTCCTTAATTTTGAAAAACAAATGAACACAAATAGGCTAGCAGAAGAGTGGTTTTTCAAAGGGGAGGAGGAGAAGAGTATCTGATCTCCAGGGAATATCATACAATATAGAAGTTTAAAAACAAACTACAGGGGCCGGCACTGTGGCGAGGCAGGTAAAGCAGCTGTCTACAGCGCCAGCATACCCTATGAGCGCTGGTTCAAGTCCCGACTGCTCCACTTCTGATCCAGCTCTCTGCTGTGGCCTGGGAAAGCAGTAGAAGATGGCCCAAATCCTTGGGCCCCTGCACCCACATAGGAAGACCTGGAGGAAGCTCCTGGCTCCTGGCTTTTGTTGTGGCCAATTGGAGAGTGAACCAGTGGATGGAAGACCTCTCTCTCTGCCTCTCCTTCTCTCTCTGTGTAACTCTTTCAAATAAATAAGTAAATATTTAAAAATAAACTATAAAATGTTTGGGGAGCCGGCGCTGTGGCACAGCAGGTTAAAAGCCCTGGCCTGAAGCACCAGCATCCCAGATGGGTGCCAGTTCTAGTACCGGCAGCTCCTCTTCTGATCCAGCTCTCTGCTATGGCCTGGGATAGCAGTAGAAGATGGCCCAAGTCCTTGGGCCCCTGCACCCATGTGGGAGACCCGGAAGAAGCTCCTGGCTCCTGGCTTCGGATTGGTGCAGCTCCGGCCTTTGTGGCCACCTGGGGAGTGAAACAGAGGATGGAAGACCTCTCTCTCTGTCTCTACCTCTCTCTGTAACTCTGACTTTCAAATAAATAAATAAATCTTTAAAATAAAAAAAAAAAGTTTCAAAATTAAAAAAAGTTAAAACTTCTGAAAGATATACCAAGCCATCAAAACAGGAAAGAATTAAAAAAAAAAAAAAAGTAAAATCAGTGTTCTGCATAAGCAAAATCTCCATCATGTATCTGTAATTCTGAGGGGGTGACTGAGAGAGACTGGAATGGAGATGTGACACGACAGGAGAGCAAGTCGAATCACTGAAAACACAGCAACACACGACTCCCTTCTCACAGGGAAGGAACAGGAACGGTTAAGTGGCTTATCAGCACCAACACAGCCGGCTGTTACCTCGTACTTCTGTCATCCATACTACAAATATTAGTTCACGTGGACAATGCATCTGGCATCATTCCAGGCACAAAGGCTATAGATATGGACACACACCCATACCCACAATCCCCTGTTCCCATGAAGCTTAAATGAGACAGTCACATAAATGAGTACAAACACAGTATCAGGTGTTGCTATGCATAAGGGCAACAGCATAGAAGGATCAAGAGTAACAGGCATGGGCCTGGGGCCTGTTTTATGTACAAGGTGAGCAGGGAAAACCTCTGACAAGCAGATGCAAACAATGCTTGAGGTAGCTATTTGAGGAAAGAGGCTTTCAGACAGAGAAAATAAAAAGCACAAATGTCGTGAGGGAAAACAGAGTTGTGTTTTTCCTCAAAGGGTTCACTGTCTTATCAATGTTGCCTCACTTCTCCCTCTTGAAAACCCTGGGTAAGGATAAGGCAGTGCTATCCCAGTACAGGGATAGGAAGCTGAGGCTCAGGGAGGGCGGGAAACTCCCCCATGAATGACAGCCCTACAGTCTATCTACACATGCTATTAGAATCCAGTTTTCTGACCACACAGCACCGCACTTAGCTCAGCACCCCAAGGTCAGGGCGCTGCCTCTTCTTCCCCAGGCACCACAAAGACTGAGATCCCTACTACTTACCTACACAGTGCACAATGAGCGCATCCTCTGCCCCAGCCTGAGGGTGGGTGACATCACCACTGACGTACTTAATGGAGGTTCTGTCTGGGTCTTGGTAATCCAGCTCAGCAGAGCTCGCGTCCTCCCCAGCCTCGGCATCTTCCCCAGCCTCGGCATCCTCCGGCTCGCTCTCCTCGGAGGGCAGGCAGAAGGACTGGTAGTCGTTGGACTCCCACCAAGCCATCCTTAGCAGGCCAGAAAAGAGAAATTAACCTTCCTTAGAGCACATTTTGCACTGCTACTCACAAACGGTAACTGCCCAACGCAATCAGAAACTCGCCCTGGATCACATTTGCTGCTTATCTGTAAATAAGTAAGTCATACTGAGGACCTGCCTGCCTCCGACCACACCTCAGTGATGATCACCCACCGATGTCCCTGTTTTCAGGACAGGACTAAATGGGATAAACTACTCCTTGTCAGATCACCATAATGTCCTAAGTTTTTTTTTTTTGTTCCAACAGAACTCATCTTCTTTGCCCATGGTCCTCTAGACTTTTAAGTAGGGTAAATGTTGAAGTTTAGTGTTTTAACAGTATTCTTTTACTAACAGGAACTACTAACTTTACAGAAGACTCCTGCACTTAAAGTGATGTTCAACTACAGACGCGCTACACGAGAGCGACTCCCTTCCCAAGTGCGGCCCTTGGTTAACAACACAAACACACTTCTTCTGGTGTTCAGCTTCTTCCTTTTTCCTCTTCTTCTCCTCCATCACCCTCTTTCTCTTGGCTGCTGCTTCCCGTCTTTTCTTCTGTCTCTCCTCCAGCTCCTCCGGGCTCAAAACCCGCTTCCTCTTGGCAGACCCCTCCACAAGGCCTGGGATGAGAACCTGCAGGGAGGACAAGATTCATAGCCAGGAAGGAGGGAGCTGCTTGCTCCTCTAGGGGTCTTAGCCATCTGTCCTACACAAAATATTTTTCTGTACATTCATGTAATATTTCATAAAGCACTGCATCTCTGTGCCACTGGCAGCAAGAGACCAACCTGCACAGCTCAAGGCATGGATACCACGATTCTGTGCTCTACAATTAATCAAAGCAGCGACATTCATTCTTTAGGATGAAGGTACTTCAGAAAAGTAATTTTTTTCCTTGATTCAAGATATAGCCTGCAGGCTGCCATTTTAAGATTGACCATTTTTAATGGAAACCTTTCTACAAAGTATTATATAATTATTTTCAATTGTTTTATTTTGAGGGGGAGAGGAGAAAGGGAGGAGAGGGAGAAGCCTAAGCCAGAAATTCAATCCAGGTCGCCTCATGAGTGGCAGGGACCCACACACTTAAGCCATCACTGCTACCTCCCTGCATCTGCAATAGCAGGAAGCCAGAGCTGGGTATCAAACCCAGGTACTCCAGGTGTTGAAAACAGCGTCTTAACTGCTGGATGGAACAGCACCGCTATAATACTTTAATTCACTCCATCTATCTATCTATCTTAAAGGCAGAGAGACATACAGGGATATTCCAACCACTGATTCTCTCCCCAAAGGCCAGGTTGAAGGCAGTCGCCAGGAACTCAATCTAGGTCTCCACAATGGTGGCAGGGACCCAGGTACCTGCACCAATACCAGGAAGCTGGGAGTTGGGAGCAGTGAGGACTGGAACCCAACTGATGACTTAACAACTCTGCCAAAGGCTCACTCCTATAATAATTTTTTCAACAGAGTATTTCAACATCACAATTACCATAATGATAACTAGCACCCAATAAGCACACACTAGTGACCCTTACATACACCATTTATGGTTTGCCATCCTCTCTCAGTGACACAGGATCACAGCTATCAACAGCAGAATATGGTATCTTGGTATGATATAATATCCCTTCAGGGGTGGTTAAAACGGATGGGCTGTTTATCTCTACATTAAAATAGTACAATCTACTCTCTTCGCTAAAATTTTTTATAAGGTTCTTATTATGTATATAATTTATTTGAGAGGCTGAGAGACAGACAAATAGCAAGCTCTCATCTCCTAGTTCACTCTCCAAAAACCCACAACAGCCAGGACAGGGCCAGGACGAGACTAGAAGCCAGGAACTCCATCTGGGTCTGCAGGGATCCATGTACTTGAGCCATCCCTGCTGCCTCCTGGGGTGTGCATTTAGGAGCACAGCCAAGGCTCGAACCTAGGCACTCTAATACAGGAAAAGAGCCTGTTTACTGCAACACCAAAACTCACACCTCTCCTTATCAATGCTTCTGAAGCCAACTCCTTGCATCAATTATACTAGGGTACAGTTAACCATGCTTACATTTCAACACATACTTATTTCTTAACAAGTCATCCTAAGAGAAAACAATGGTTTCAGCAGTTTTTGTCTTCTTTGGATAACAGTGCAGAATAACTTATTCTTTCACATAAGTTAATGGTTCTTACGCTGCCTTTGTTTCGCAGGGACCGGCCCTCTTGAGTAGTCTTCTCCAAAAGGGTTTTCTGAAGATTCACCAGTTGTTCGAATGATTTTCTGTCTTCCTTACTAGGCTCTTTGGAATAATCTTTACCTTCAAATAAGTACATGTGGTTTTCTAAGAACACAAAGATAGAAAGAGAAACGTTAGATACCAAAGAATGGATTAATGCTATTCCAAGCAATAATAAAGATGAACTCTACATGGGCTGAGACCAGCTTGTGAGGAAGGTATTCCATCTCCCACTGTGCTGACACTGATGTCTTTAGGTTCTACGTGAGATTCCACGAGTCCACTTTTCAAGGAGAGCACAGCTCAAAGCCTTTTGCTTCATCCCTCAATGGTCTGTGATTCTCTGCTGGGTCCCTCCGTACTGCTGAGTCTTGGATCACGCATCACTCATTCCATAACTACACCTCTTCTAACAAAATCTATTCTGTTTTATTCCAAGCACACTTTTTAAAACGAGATTTATTTATTTACTTGAAAGTCAGAGTTACAGAGAGACAAGGAGAGAGAGAGAGATCTTCCATCCACCGTTGTACTACCCAGCAAAGGCCAGGGTTGGGCCAGGCGGAAGCCAGGAGCCAGGAATTTCATCCAGGTCTCCCATGTGGGTGGCAGGAGCACAAGTACTTGGGCCATCCTCCACTGCTTTTCCCAGGCCACGAACAGGGAGCTAGATGGGAAGTGGAGCAGCCAGGACACAAACCAGTGCCCATATGGGATGCCAGCTTCACAGGCGGTGGCTTTACCTGCTATGACATGACGCCAACCCACAAACACACTTTTATTACTCAACTTTTTCCCCCTTTTTGTATAATATTAAAAGGACTAAGTGACCAATCTTTGAGAAAATGAAGAATTACAAAAACTATCCCTTGGATTTCTAATGGATCTCATGAACCAGCTTCATGATCCTCACGACAATCCCCATATAACCAATCCTACCTGTGAAAAGGGAAACGGAGGCTCAGACAGGAACCGAGGGGCTCCCCATTCTCACCAACAAACACAGAAGGCAGGATTTCCTGTCTAAGGCCAGGGTGCTCTTTTCAGTATATCACCTTAGACAACAGTGGAGAGGGAGCAAGCTGGCAATAATAACTATCATAATAACAAAAAGGACACTAGTGTAATCTTCAACAGCACTTTGTACTATCAGAACACTTTCAACAGCTGTTACCACACTTTGTGTTTGCAACTGTGTGGAAGAGGAAAGCAAACATCAATGGCACCATTTCACAGATGAGGACACAAAGGCTGAGTGGTCTGTACAGATGATGAATCAAGTCATGACCACCAAGACCAACCACCACAGACAGGTAGCGTGATATTCAAAGCGAGGCACATTTGACAGCACATGTCACCAAATAACGGTACCTTCTCAGCATTATGAAATCAGTTATAAGTGTGTTTTCCCTGGAGAGTATGAAAGCAAAACATTTTCATTCTCAAGAGATCAATTGCTTCACACTTGTACCCAAATCTAACCAGCTGTAATTCTAATTGGCATTTGCTAATTAAATCAGCAGGGGGCTTTCAACGAGGCGCTCTATCAACAAGTGGAAGAAAAAAGAGCTGCGAAGTGTCAAATGTGATCAACATATGTAGCTTCATACTGCATGCAATTCTCAACTTATAAACGTGTTTCAAAAACCCTGCCATTCCAGATAAAGCAACTTTGCTCTTTATTTTTCATTTGATTGCAGCTGCTTTACCGCCTAATCTTTCATATTTATTAACATTATTTTTAATCATGCTCCCTGTCTTCACTTTGCAGCCAAGAGGAGGCTGGAGCCCATTAGGCCCAGACCTTCATCTGTGTCCTTTCAGTGGGACCATTACCATAGAGTAACCCTAGACCAGGTATCAGAGACAAAATTCCCAACGTAAATGCAACTGGGGAATTCCACTGGCCGTTCAACTGAAAAAAATATAATTTTTTAGGCAGCTGGATTGACTAAGAAATATAACTATCTTTCTGAAAACTGCATTTGTATCATTTTCCAGTAAACATTAGGAAAATAAGCTGAAATTAGGGGAATGTGGAAATAGGTGTAAGCCTTGGCATTTAATATAATCAACATGTAACTGAAAAATATGACCACATGCATCTGTTTCTTTTCTCACCTGAAACCACTAAATGACAGGCAAGGGATTAAAAAAAAAATCATGGCCGGCACCGCAGCTCACTAGGTTAATCCTCCACCTTGCGGCGCCAGCACACCAGGTTCTAGTCCCGGTCAGGGCGCCGGATTCTGTCCAGGTTGCCCCTCTTCCAGGCCAGCCCTCTGCTGTGGCCAGGGAGTGCAGTGGAGGATGGCCCAAGTGCTTGGGCCCTGCACCCCATGGGAGACCAGGAGAAGTACCTGGCTCCTGCCATCGGATCAGCGCGGTGTGCCGGCCGCAGCGCGCCGGCCGCGGCGGCCATTGGAGGGTGAACCAACGGCAAAAGGAAGACCTTTCTCTCTGTCTCTCTCTCTCACTGTCCACTCTGCCTGTCAAAAAAAATAAAATAAAATAAAAAAATAAAAAAAAATCATGATGGAACAGTTGATGAGAAAGTTCAATAACTGGAAAATGCAGAGTGCCTGGAAGGATAAGAACAAATTAACAAGAGCTGTGGAAGCAAAACACAAGTGCCTAGCCAAGGGTCGAGTATGAGAACAGAGAGCACCTCAATCATACGGGATAGGGAGCCTTGTATTCTGCCCAGGGCCATTTGTAACATCATTTATAACATCACTTGCAAGCCATACTACATGATCAACCTTAAAAATTAGTCCCGCCTGTGGCTGCCTTAGCAGGGCCAGACCACGTGCCTTATCCGGCCTCCAGGCCAGACATTCCCCACCACCGGGTCTAAAAGCCTAGAACTTACAATTACGGGGCTCCATTCCGTGAGAGACCTGATGGGAGAAGATCTACACACTAAATAATGGGGACACCATGAACCTCTGACTCACCCTATGTTTTCAATGTAAGTGACCACGCCTACTCCAACACCTGCCTCTTCCAAGGAAGATATAAGAGGATTTGCCTCTGGAGAAACAAGTTGCCCAATGGAAAGACCTGAAGAAGGACATCTGGGAAAGCTCACTCAAGGTGGAAGCTGGTTCACCAAACAGTAATGCTGGAATAAGGCCCAAGGGCCATATCCCTGCTTGTGCCAGAGCTGCCCGTCACTGTGTGGCACTTTACCGCCCAGGTGACCAGACCACCGGAGGACACCACACGTTTCCAAAAAACTATCAACAGAACAAGGGAGTCCAAAAAAATTTAACAAATAGTAAAAGGAAGGACAAGCAACTGGAGGAAAGATGCAATGCAGAGGAACTTTTTTTTTTTTTTAAGTTTATTTATTTGAAAGGCAGAGTTAGAGAGAGAGAGGTAGAGAAAGAGATCTTCCATCCACTAATTCACTCCCCATTTCCCCAAATGACCGTAACATCCAGGGCTAGGTCAGGCTGATGCCAGGAGCTCCTCCTGGGTCTCCCACATGGGGGCAGGGGCCTAAGCACTTGGGCCATCCTCCACTGCTTTCCCAGGCACATTAGCAGGGAGCTGGATCAGAAGTGGAGCAGCCAGGTCTTGAACTGGCACCCATATGGGATGCTGGCACGGGAGGCACAGGCTTAGCCTACTACACCACAATGCCTGCCCTGAGGAACACTTTTTTAGAAGATGTAATAAATATTGTCCTTGGAACACATTTTGAAAAGCGATAGGCCGGCGCCGCGGCTCACTAGGCTAATCCTCCGCCTAGCGGCGCCGGCACACCAGGTTCTAGTCCCGGTCGGGGCACCGGATTCTGTCCCGGTTGCCCCTCTTCCAGGCCAGCTCTCTACTGTGGCCAGGGAGTGCAGTGGAGGATGGCCCAGGTGCTTGGGCCCTGCACCCCATGGGAGACCAGGAAAAGCACCTGGCTCCTGGCTCCTGCCATCGGATCAGCACGGTGCGCCGGCCAAGGCGGCCATTGGAGGGTGAACCAACGGCAAAAGGAAGACCTTTCTCTCTGTCGCTCTCTCTCACTGTCCACTCTGCCTGTCAAAAAAAAAAAAAAAAAAAGCGATAAAAAATGTCCTCAGAGAGGACATTATGTCATTGAAATGAGGACAGGATGCAATTAAACAAGCACAGAACAAGAAAGAATTCTTGAAGAACACAAAAAGGAGTGTTAATATTAAATATAAATATTTTAAAGATAAAATATAAGAAAAATCAGAGCAGTTTTTGTAAAATAATGCCTAAATTTCAATTTCTATGTATATTCTACCAAAAACATACAGATTAACAAGGAGTCATAAAACCTACCCCTAATCCATGCCCACTGCAAAACCTGGAATCAGAAAATTACTGTGAACTTCAGTTTGCAGGGAATAGAGAAATGAGCATCCAAAACCAGCCCAACAAGCCCCAAAGCCCACATAGAGCAGACAGATGGTCAGACAGAGACTACACAGAGGGGCAGGCACTGGGGCTCGGGAGTGTCAGACTAAATGTAGCCCTCAAAGGAGGGCCACACCCCCAACTGGGAACAAAATGCGGACAGTCTGAGACCTGGTAGATGAGAGAGTAGCTGCCAAAGAACTGAAAGGAAGGGGCTAAAACACGTGGATGCAGAAACTGGAGAAGGCACTGCTTCTGGGGGCCAAAGAGAGCAAACTCAGAGGTGAGAGACATCCCTTGACAACGTTGTGGCAAAGGGGAGGAAAGAGGCAAGTGATGGAAATTCAGGATCAACAGAAATAAAAGAGGATCATAAAGTCCAAAGTCACACCAACCCCACCCCCACCAAAAACACCATCTAATAAAGAAATTGCAATTCCCTCAAGCAGTACAAGACAGTTCTCTTGTATTAAGAAGTCCACACTGAATCCCTGCTGCCACCATACAGGAAAACAGTCACTGCAAAATATCTATGGCATGTTAGGGAACATCTGTATAAAGCTACTACGTAGGAAGCAATCAGAATCCAAAATTCAAAAATGTAGAACAGAAAAGAACACAAACACAAATATCGAGCAAATTTAGGGGAGGAGGTACAAAATCCTCTCCACCTCATAGGGTATTGTGAAGGTTAAATGGAAAAAGGCACATAGCACACCACACAGTGCACACCACTGGTGAGCACACAGTGAATGCCCCAGCAAGGCTCGCTGTGATACAACAGAAGGGGAATCACTGTGTGTGGATCAGATTCTTGCAACCAAGGGAGGAATGGTACAAATTGAAATCCTTGAAATGGATACTACCACAACCTGCAGTATCATGACTCTTGTTTAAAGTTCAGCTCCAGGGGAGCAGCCAGACAAATTTCCAGTCAGTCTGGAGGAGTTCTTGGACCAAGCTGTGTCCTCTACATAGTAACAGGGCCCAAGAGCAGTAGCCACACTTCCCATGGGTACTCATCTCGCTCGTGCTCTAGCAGGGCGCGGCTGTGCCATCTGCTGTGCTCCAGCCCCAACTTACTTCCTTCCTCTTGCTCTCTGTCCCCTCCTTCTGCTGCAGGCAAGACATCAGAGACCCACTGTCCATCTTTCGTTTCTCCCAGGATGGCCTCCAGATCGACTTCATCAATGGTGCTCCCCTCAGAGGACAGCAGTTTATCCAAACCGAATTTGAGTATCTCACTCAGCTTGAATGGAGAGAAAAAAAAAAAAAAAAAACAACCATCAGGGCACGTGTCATTTGCAAAGTGGCTGAAGGACACCAGGCACATTTCTTCCCTGATGGACAGTCTTGCTTCTCTCCCCATCAGAGAGGACAGCAGCCAGGGCCGTTTAACAGGTGGCTAAGCAGAGCAGTGATGATGATGATTAGAGCTGTTGGCCTTGACAATTCTCCAATACAAAACCTTCTTATGAGCCAACATGTTTCTTGAAGGATACTAGTAATTTCATGCATTTTCTATAACACCAGTCACTGAATTTCTTCTTTGCAGGCATTTCCAGCAACCACCAGAGAAGTCAGATAACCTGTTAACTACCTCCCACTGCCAAACTCAGGAAAAAGAGGTGACTGTATGGGGCACTTCACCTCCACCATAAATGGACCTATACAGCCCACGGGCTGGACATGGCCCAGCCCTGCTACAGAAACACCTTCACAAAGGACAGTTACAACTCCTGACACCAAGCCAAAAGGCCACTTCTCAGTCTGCCTCCCTCAGGATATTCCTCTGGCACTGCACTACTGTTCCCCATCCCTCATCCCTTTCTAGGTAACACACAGTCAACTGCCTATGGCTGTAGGAACCACCCAAGAAACTTAGATAACTTTTCCTGGATTTCTCTCACTACCTCCAACTTTGTGCCTCCCTAAGTACTAACTCTGAGATTCTGAACCAAATGAGGTTCTCAGATTGGGCTTTTGTTCACATCTTGGTCTTTTAGATAGGGCCAATTCCTTTTAGATCATCTTTCTTAATGAGTGACTTTGAAATCTTAAGATCTTTTGTAATCACTTAGAAAAAAAATTGGATAATTCACATGAACATGAACATACCTGGGATGGATATATTTAGTCTTAGTATACATAATTAAGGCAACTGATTTTGGCATTTGGTACCAAAAATAGAAGAAATTCCATGTGTGTGTTAAGGATTATTCCACAGAGGGATCCCTCCTTCATCCACCACAGATCTACACTTGCCTCCCGGCTTCCCTTCTTACTTGTGATGTGTCTTAAAGACTGACGTGTGTTTATGAGCAGCAGTGCATTGCAGTCATATATATTGGAGGATGGAGGTTAGAGATTGCTTGGATCCCAGTCCTTAATCTGAGTGAACTGGGGCAAATTAGTCAGACCCTATCACAGTGTCTGATCAATAATGACCTGCATACATAAGACTATAACAGAGCTGAGAAATTCCTATCACCTAGTGGATGCAGAGCTGAAGAAGAAGCAAGAGAAAAGGAAACTGCAGAAGAAAAAGAAGGAACCCCCCCCCGCCAAGAAAAGTCACTGTGAAGAATTTAGTAGATGCTTTTGCAGACTTCTTCAAACTCCATAAAAAGTATGAACACATGGACTCCCCACCCCCAGAGAAAGGTTTTCATTAACAGAGCAATGTTCATAGTGCCTTACCTACTTACTAGTAAATCTATCATGGGAGGGGTAAAACAAGCAAACCAACCATGGACGTACGTCTGAAAGAAGGACAATTCAAGAAGAGCCTCGCTCAGGTGGGTCCCTCAGGAGGTGCCCAGAAGGTGTCACTGTCAGGAGATGACAGCTCCAGGTGTGTTATAGCCCCTGAGGACCTTCCAGTGATGCAGAAGTGGAAGACCAGGATATTGCTGGTTCTGACCCTGTGTAGGCCTGGGCTAATGTGTGTGTGTGTCTTTCGTTTTGTTTGGATGATTTATTTTATTGATTTGAAAGGCAGAGATATATATAGAGAGAGAACTTCCATCCACTTATTCACTCCCCAAATGGCTGTAACAGCCCAAGTATTTCAGCCAACTTCCACTGCCTTCCCAGATGCATCAGCAGGGAGCTGGGCCAGAAGTGGAATAGCTGAGACTTGAACCAGCATCCATATGGGATGCTAGTATTGCAGGAGGCAGCTTAACCTGTTATACCATAACGCTGGCTGGTCTACTTCCCAAATGTGTCCAACAGCCAAGGTTAAGCTGGGCTGACACCAAGAGCCAGGAACTCCATCAGGATCACCCACATGAGTTACAGGTACCCCTGTACTTGGGCCATCATCTGCTGCCTCCCAGGTGCATTAGCAGGGAACTGGATTAGAAGCAGAGGCAGGGCCGGCGCTGCGGCTCACTAGGCTAATCCTCCACCTAGCGGCGCCAACACACCAGGTTCTAGTCCCAGTTGGGGCACCGGATTCTGTCCCGGTTGCCCCTCTTCCAGGCCAGCTCTCTGCTGTGGCCAGGGAGTGCAGTGGAGGATGGCCCAAGTGCTTGGGCCCTGCACCCCATGGGAGACCAGGAGAAGCACCTGGCTCTTGCCTTCAGATCAGCGCGGTGCGCCAGCCGCAGTGCGCCAGCCATGGCGGCCATTGGAGGGTGAACCAATGGCAAAAAGGAAGACCTTTCTTTCTGTCTCTCTCTCTAACTGTCCACTCTGCCTGTCAAAAAAAAAAAAAAAAAAAAAAAAAAGAAGCAGAGGCAGGATCTAATCCCAGGCACTCTGATATGGGATAAAGGTGTCCCAAGTGGCAGCTTAACCTCCTGCACTACAACATTCATTCCTCAATGTTTTTGCTTTGACAAAAGTCAAAAAGTTGAAAACTTTATAAAGAAAAAAGTTAGGGACCAGCGCTGTGGTGTAGCAGGTAAAGGCTGCAGTGCCAGCATCCCATATGGGCACTGGTTCGAGTCCCAGCTGCTCCACTTCTGATCCAGCTCTCCGCTATGGCCTGGGAAAGTAGTAGAAAATGGCCCAAGTCCTTGGGCCCTTGCACCACATGGCAGACCTGAAGAACCTCCTGGATTCTGGCTTTGGATCAGCCCAGCTCTGGCCATTGCAGCCATTTGGGGAATGAACCAGCGGATGGAAGACCTCTCTCTCTCTCTGCTTCTCCTAATAAATAAAACTTTAAATAAAAAAAGTTATGCTAAGTTAAAGTCAATTTATTATTGAAAATGTTTAACAAAATTCAGTGTAGCCTAAATGTACAGTGACTAAGAAGTGTATAGTGTTCGAAGTTCTAGGGCCTAGAAGCTTTATTTCTGCCAAGGGCCATTTGGCTACTTATAACATCATTTGTGGGCCATACAAAATTACCAACTTAAAAATTAGCCTCTCTTGACTCACTGAATTCTGAGTCCCACCTGCAGCTGACTTGGCAGGGCCAGATCACCTCCAGGTCTTCACATTCCCTCACCACTCAGCCACTGACTCGCCCACAGCAACTTCCTGTCCTGCTTGCTTCCATTCATGCCAAGTGTCCTATGCAGGTCATTATTGTTTCTCAAATCTTTTTATGGTATTTTTCTGTACCTTTCCATGTTCAGATACTCAAACACCACTGCGTTATAACTGCCTACAGTATTCAGTACAGTAACATGTTGAATAGGAGTGCAGCCTACGAGCTATACTACACCATCTAGGTTTGTGCAACCATACTCCATGATGTTTGCTCAACAATGACACTGCCCAACAATGCACTTCTCAGAATGCATCCCTATGGTTAAGTGACACAATGAGCATATGACTGTACTTAGGATGGAGAGAAAGAGTGTTGCTATTCACTGAAGCGGTAGGAAAAGAGCACCTCAGACAGCATTTAGCAAATAACAGGCATTCAATAAATGTTCACTCCACCTACACCTGCCTTTCTCTGTGTCGACTGTGTTCTCCCTGCAGGGTAACAATCTTGCTTCCCACATTCAGGACGTCAGAACTCCAAAATGCTTAGATTTACCAAATCAGACCACAGCTTTTACTATTGGATTCCTTTGACAAAGGAAAAAAAAATCAAAAAACAAAAAACCCTTATTTCTTTTGAGAGAAGGACACTGAGTTATTACCATCATGTTTGGAAATGGCCAAAAACTCCATATATAGAGTCTGGACAGGGAGAAAGGGAGGAGAAAAATCAGACATCAGAGCCTGAATATAATTTTCCGATAACCATGAGCCGGGTAAGAAGTCCGGCTGAACCCCTCTCAAACAGGCAATACTCTATGTTCCCACCTGTTCCAGTCTTTGGCTCCGTGGACAGGGTATGTCCACATGTTTCACAAGGATGTTCCCAGGCTTCTACATCACAGGGGTTGCCCAGACTGGGCTCCCTCCACCAGGAGAGGTCACACATCCCATTGATGGCGTTTTCTTCACTAACACCCAGAATGTGGGCCTTCCAAAGCCCCTTTACCATGCTGAATGGTGAACTTATCTCTCCCAAGGGTACACAGAAAACTGTATTTAAAAGTCTGTACAGTGTGATCTCTCTCATGCTTTCCACTACCATCTAGAATTACCTCTTAGGTAGTATGAAAACAAAATATGCAGCCTGCCCTGCTCCAATTGTAGGTAACTGTGCACATGACATCATGGTCAGCAATGAAAGAAAAAACATTACTCCCCGAGACCAAAAAATAAATAAATAAATAAAATAAACAACCAAGGTTACTCTTTCTAGCTGTAGTCTCCAAATAAATGAAACTTTGAACCTTTCCTGTAAGTTAGAGTCCCTAACAAAAACAACATGGTCCAGACATGATTGGTTTTTGCACATGTAACCATGTGATTTAAAAACTGCTCAGGCTAACTGTAAACTTGGTAACTCTGCTTGTACTACTGTGTAACTTGTTTCCCTTGTGTGTTGTGTACCTGCTGTATTTCTACCTGATAAGTCCTCTTAAGGTTTGATTTCCCTTGCAAACTTTCACAAATGAAATTCTTTCTTTTATCCTGGAGTCTTCAAAGCTCTAACAATAGTGTATGTTTGGGGTTGGTGCTGGGGCGTAGCGGGTAAAACTGCCACCTGCAGTGTCAGTATCCCATATGGGTGCCGGTTCGAGACCCAGCTGCTCCACTTCCAATCTAGCTCTCTGCTATGGCCTGGGAAAGCAGTGGAGGATGGCCCAAGTCCTTGGGCCCCTGCACTCACGTGGGAGACCTGGAGGAAGTACCTGGCTTCTGATCAGTGCAACTCCAGCCATTGCAGCCAACTGGGGAGTGAACCAGCGAAAGGAAGACCTCTCTCTCCCTCGCCCCGCCCTCTCTCTCTGCCTCTCCTTCTCCCTGGGAAACCTTTCAAATAAATAAATCTTATAAAAAAAAAGTTATGTTTATATTCCATTTTTACTTCAAACTCAAAGCCTACATCATGTCCATCTTCCTAATACTCTGCTCTCCTTTCTATGTTAATTTTTATTTCCCTCATAATCCAGGCCTAAGACCTTACAAGCCATTTTTTAATTTCGCATCTCCCTAGCTGCCCACCACCAAAGCAGCTGCCAACTCCTATCACTTCTTCTGCAGCATTTCTTACACCACACCTGCCCACTGCTGCTGCCACCTGACATGCATAACTTCATGCCTGGATCTCTCTAGCATCCTGGATGCTGTTCTTCTGCACCCAGCCCCTCGGGCAAAAGGCAAGGACCTAGGATACACTACAGCAGGGGTTCTAATTTTAACTCAAGGGCTGCTGGGGAAGAACTCGAAATCTTCCTGCAAAAGGCAGCTCCAAGAGCCTCCAAGTCAGCATCTGGTGCCCATCCACAATCCTCTTCCTCAAGCCAGTGAACTCTGGCTCTTCCATCCATTTTTCCTATGGCATAATTTTGAATTCCTGATCTTGTTCGCCCTCCTCTGAGTTTGAAGGAAGTAATATGAGTCATCAATCAAAGGGTGTGGGATCAAGGAGAAAATAGAGAATTAGTCATTATTGCTTATGCCAAGTTTTTTTTCTTTTTTTTTTTAAATCTAATTCTTCTAACAGCCCACTGGGATAACTAGAGATACCCTCATATTTTGAAAACTAAATAGAGAGTAGAGCCAAGAGGTTAAGCCATTTGCTTAAACCACACAGCCAATATAAAAGCCCATTTTCTTTATTTTATAGTCTACTGCCTTTGTGCATCCGATGCACCCCGAGCTCCTACAGCACCCTGCATGCTGTGGGTACAGGACAGGTCTGAGTTCAGCCAGGGAAGAGCGGGCAGTTAACCTTGGTTCTTTTCCTTTGCATTCCCATCCACGGAGAGCAACGCCCACAGTCTGTGACGGAGCCTGGGGTGAAGCATGCTACACTCTACCTGGAGGTCCGCCTCTGCCGAGGGTCTCTGGGCTCCCAGCGTGAAATGGCCTCCTTCTATGATCATGTTGGTGAGCTGCAGTTTGGAGACTGCTTTCCTATAGACGATTTCTTCCACGGTGTCTCGGCCAATCAGCCGAATAACTTTGACAGACCTGTGAAATGACAGTAGTGTGCTATGAGTTATAAGCTGGGTGAAAGCATGTAGCTACACCTAAAAGAAAACATAGCCAAATACCACATATACTGCACAACTAAAAGGAGACCATTTCATTTGGACCCAAGCATTTCTTAGAGATCTGGCCTCAAATTCCTTTGAATGTTTTCCAAAGAGTCAAAAAACGAATGATGAAGTGACCACACTGAGATTGTTAATCTCAGGCCAAGGAAAACTTCTGGTATGCACTACCCTTAGGTCAAAGGGTAACTTCTTTTTTCCTTGGTTCCATAACCCCACAACCCCATTTTTCTGAGTTAGACCCTAAAACAAAAAGGATAACTTAAATAAATATCTTCTAAAGATTCCTTCTAATCCTTTCAAAATTTACTTTTGTGAGGTTTCTATTTATTTATTTATTTATTTATTTATATGAGAGACAAGACTGAGAGTGAGCGTGCATGCTCCCATACACTGGTTCACTCCCTAAATGCCTGTGATGGCTGGGGCTGGGCCAGGCTGAAGCTGGAGCTGGAAACTCAATCCAGGTCTTCCTGATCTAGACTCCATCATTTAAGCCATCATCGACGGCCCCCAGGTGCGCATTAACAGGAAGCTGGAATTGGGAACACAGCCAGGCCTCAAACCGAAAAACGCCAATGTGGGCTGCAGGCATCCCAATCATAACCACTAGGCTAAAATATCAGCCTCTGGTTTTCCATTTTTAAAGTAAACCTGGACTGATCATGTGATCCACCCAACACTACTCAGGAGTTAAAAGCAGGGCTGGGCTAATGCCTGGTGGTCTCCGATGTGCAGTCTGGGACTGCCATCAGGACCGTGTTCTTCCCTTTCATCTCCAACACAGAACTGCTGCCAGGCAAGCCAAGGAGGTGGAGAAACGCTGAGCCGCTCAGAGCACTTACTTGTTCTGGCCGATTCGGTGGGCTCTGGCAGCTGCCTGCAGGTCATTCTGGGGATTGAAATCGCTGTCCACAAAAATAACAGTGTCTGCTGCTGTTAAGTTCATGCCAACTCCACCTGAAAAGGAGGCAGAAAGAAATACGATGAGCGGCGCAAAGACAAGGAACTGGGAGACAAAGACACAGACGAGCGTGGCTCAGGCCGACGGACTGAGATCAGTCACAACTGCCTGCTTCTCTTTCAGAGACACCCCTTCCCCATCTCCAACCACAGAGCCACCGCACTCCCCGACTGCTTCAGAGAATTTAATTCCCGATGTAACAGAATGAGGGATGCCAGGGTAAGCAGTGAGAGAGGACATTTCAGTCGGGGTCGTAAAACCATTTTAAGACTCCTGGGTTTAAATGCCTGGACAGAAGGCGGCTTAGCACAGTCTGTGCAAGAAGACGCAGGGGGAGACAACTGTGGTGATGAGAGGTCTGCGGTGGGAACTGACCCGCCACGGTCACGAGAGGCTGGGATGATGCTCTCGGCAGAGTGTGAGGCCACCCCTCTCTGACAGGAGAAAGCTGCTCTTCTCTGTGCAGTTTCCACACTCATCAGACACAACATACCACAGCCAACAGGGAGACGAGAACACTCCCAGGAACAACTTGCTAGTCTGTCTTCAGTGCCCCAGGAAAAGGGCTGAGGGGTACCTCGGCTCACAGGAATTAATTAAGAGAACCAGGAAGGCAAATTACAGCCTTCGATTTGATTAATGTGGAAACAAATGCAAAGCGGACTGCATCTCACCGAGGTCGTCAGAGCTCGCTGCTGGAACAAGCCGGCCTGAAAGGGCCTGCTCCAGGGGCCCGGTGGGACACCGCCTGGGGAAGGACGACGACTCCAGGCCGGGTCTAGGACAAGAGAAGCAGGAACGCTCCCACCAAAGCCTTCACAGGACAGAGATAATGGTGACTGATTACAGAGATGCTAAACTAGGCCTAGTGATGGCGACAGCTACATTTCTGCCATGGCTATCACAGTGGCTATGATGAGGACACTCATCAAGCACTGTTCTAGAGGGAGGGAAGATGAGTGTGTAACTGCTCTTACTATTATTGTCATGCCCATTTTACAGATGTTGAAATGAAAACCAAACTGGGTTAAGAAATGTAACTAAGCTTCAACAGCCAGAAGGTGACATGGGCGGGATCCGATCCTTCCCGGTCTGGCTCCAGAACCTGTGTTTTATCCACTATGCTGTATACCTTCCAGGTACTTTTTCCATTTTAAAACATGCTTTATGAATACTGTCTTCTTCTTGGGTCAGTGTTGAGTCTGGGATAATATTTTTATAAATAAGCTGTATGCAGATTAGTTTAGGACAGAAGCACATTCATGAGTTATCACTGCCACCTGGTGGTAATGACTCACTTGCAGAAACATGTGAAAGTTTCGGTACATGAAAATGCTGTGGAGCCTCAGCAAAAACACAGGGCTGGTACACGGCCTAGTGGGTTAAGTTGTCACCTGCGACACCAGCATACCATATGGGCGACAGTCGAGTACCAACTGCTCCATTTCAGATCCAGTTCCCTGTCAAGGCACTAGTGCTTGGGCCCCTGCCACCCATGTGGTAGCTACAGATGGAGTTCTGGGCTTCTGGCTTCGGCTTGGACATTTGAGGAGTGAATCTGTGAATGGAATCTCTCTCTCTCTCTCTCTCTCTCTCTCTTTCTAACTCTGCCTTTCAAATAAATAAATAAAATTTTAAAGAAAAATAGAACTACAACAAAAATACAATCACAAACATCACAATGTTTGGAAAAGACCATGTCCAGGCCGCATCCAGCTCCTAAAGGATCCTCTCTAAGTCCTCCAAGAAGATGAACTGAAAAGCAAAGCTCTCCTTCTTCCTAATTTTAAACATTTCAAATCAATGCTGCTCTCTCTGGATATGAAGACGATAAAATCATTAAGGCATAAATGGAGTTTTCCCAACCCTGACAACTCCTTCTAGTTTCTTCTGAGACCACCTCTGACACATCTGATCACGCAAAGAGAAGGCTGAGATGCAGGGAACAGAGTGCAGCCAAACAGGTCTGACTGTACCTTGTTAATTTTCTCAGGGGAATGAGACATATGCAGGTGACAACAATCTCCTTACAGTCAAGGATTACATCTAATATTTCTTTCATATACCCTTACAGTACTAGGTACTTCATAAATGCTTTCTAAACAAGACTGAACTTCTATACAGAAACTGGTCTTGGGGCAGCCCTGTGGCACAGAGAGTGAGGCTGCCGCCTGAAGTGCCAGCATCCATAATATGTGCCTGGGAAAGTAGTGAAAGATGGCCCAAGTGCTTGAGCCCCTGCACCATGTGGGAGACCCAGAAAAAGCTCCTGGCTCCTGGGTTTGGATCAATCCAGCTCCAGCTACTACAACCTGACTAAGATTAAGTTGAAAACTAAGGTATAAAAGATGTCCACTTTCACCATTCTTATTCAATATAGTACTGGAGCAAGAGCAATTGGGGGGAGGGAGAAAGAAAGGGATTCAAAATTGGGAAACAGGAAGTCAAACTATACAGATCTGCAGTGACATGATGTTGTGCATAGTAAAACCTGAACAGTCCACGAAAAAGCTGTTAGAAGTGAGAAATCAATTCAGTAAAGCTGCAGGTTATAAAATAAACATTTAAAAAGTAGCTTTTTTGTATGAACTCACAGAAAGAGAATCAAGAAAGAAATCTCATTCATAACACCCACAAAAAAAACCAAATATTTAAAAACAAATTTAACCAAAGAAGTGAAAGATCTCTACAATGAAAATTATCAAAATTGACAAGGACACACAAAAATGCAAAGATATTCCTTGCTCATAGATGAAAAGAGTCAGCATCATTAAAATGTCTATACTACCTGAGGCAATCTGCACATTCAAGGCAATCCCTATCCCAATGACATTTTTGCAAAATTAGAAAAAGCAACCCTAAAATTCATATGGAATCACAAAAGACCCAGAATACCCAGGGCAATCCTGAACAAGAAAAATCAAGCTGGAGGCATCACAATATCTGACTTCAAAGCATATTACAAAGCTATAGTAATTAAAACAGCATGGTACTGGCATAAACACTGATTTATAGAGAGAAAGCAATGGAACAGAATAGAGAGTTCAGAAATTAATCCATGTATACACAGCCAACTGATTTTTGACAAAAGTGCTTAGTCCATACAGTGGAGTAGGGAAAATCTCTTCAACAAATTGTGCTTGCAAAACTGGATATTTATATATATGTAGAAGAATGAAATTAGATCCTTATCTCTCACTGTATATAAAAATCAACTCAAGATGAGTCAAAGACCTAAATATAAGACCTTAAACTATGAAGTTGCTGGAAGAAAACAGAGGAAACACTCCAAGACACTGGTGTAGGGGACAACTTCTTGGACAAGACCCGCAAAACACAGGCAACAAAAGCAAAACTACACAACTTGACACACACTGTATCAAACTCAGAAGCTTTTGCACAGCAAAGGAAACAACCAATAGAGTGAAGAGACACCCAACAGAATGGGAAAAATATTTGCAAACCACATATCTGACAAAGGATTAATATCCCAAATATATCAGAAACTTAAAAAAATCAAAAAACAACCAATCCCAAGTAAGAAATGGGCAAAGAACTTCAATAGACAGTTCTCAAAAGAAATATAAATGGCCAACAAATATATAGAAAAAATGCTCAACAACACTAACCATCAGGGAAATGCAAATCAAAACCACAGTGAGATATCACCTCACCCCTGTCAGAATGGCTAAAATCTAAAACACGGCGAGTAAACAAAAGCTTGGGAGGATGTGGTGAACATACAATGTATCAAAGAGATACCTGCACCACCATGTTCATAGCAGCGTAAGATTTGGAATCCACCAAAATGCCCATAATTAGACGAATGGATAAAGAAAATGTGGTACATATATACACAATGGAATACTGTTCAGCTATTTAAAAAAAGAATGAAATTCTACCATCTGCAGATAAATGGATGCAACTGGAGAACATCAAGTTGAATGAAATAAACTAGACCCAGAAAGACAAATACTACCTGTTCTCTTTATATCTGGGGCTAAAATTTAAAAAATAAAAAAAAGAAAGAAAAAAAGAAATATCTGTGTGTATCAGTATGGCTGCTAATATATGGCTGTTTTATAACTTTGTCAAACTAATGGTTAAGAATGTTATTCTACTACAGTTTTAATGATTTGTGATTACTTTAAAATTTACTGTATATGGGTGAAATGGTCATTTTTCCATTCAATTATTCTTTATGGCCATTGTATATTCCCACTAAAGTAGGGTTTGTTTGTTTGCTTTTTATTTGTTAAGCTTCTTTCTGATGAAGTATTAAGTCTTTTGATTGCAATTAACTTTAAAATGTTACCTCAAAAATGAAAAGAAAGGAAGAAGGAAAGTGGGAGAGAAAAAGGGACTATGAGTATGTTCTTAGAATTGTACCTACAAACCACACTGACTCTGTTAAAAACTAACTAAAAGTTAAAATAAAAGAAAAAAAAAACGGGCATCACATTGTAAGATGCCCTTAGAGGGCACTGGTTTCACAAAGAGAACATTTCAGAAGTATTACTTCTTTCATCGACTGTTAAAATGTGAGCTCATGGTATGTTATGTATTTTACTCAGGAAAACAGCCCAACGTATCAGTATTTCTGAATACTGGTCAATAGAAGACTGACTAAACAAAATCTTTGATATAATATTGCCTTCTGTCTTCCACAGAAAGCCACACCATAATTTGGTATAACCTTCGTGGAAGTAATATGAAAATATATACTAAAAGTCTTAGAACATTATATTTTATTTGACCCAGAAACCTAACATCTATGCATTTATTGTAAGGATACACTCCTAGATGAGCCTAAAGTTGTGACTTTTAGAATGGTAATAGTAAAAAAAAAAATTAATAAATGGAAAACTTCTTACCCATTTTAATTAAAATTTTTAAGCACTTTAAAAAAATTGTATGTCCATTTTCCAAAATTATTTTAATATAACAGAATTGAATGGTAGAGGCAATATGCATTTAAAAATGTGCTACAGTACCCACCATATCATCTATTTGAAAAGTCATAAGTAATCTAAACTTTAAGCATAAGTAGACATAACACTGTTTTTCATACACAAAAACTTTGGGATGGAACAGTATTTCATTCCTCTCTTAACAAATTTCTCTCACTAGGGACACTAAATACTGCTTTCTGTATTCAAGGACCACTTGTAGATCTGCTAAAAAGCTACTTTGCCCAATTTCAAATTAAAGTCCTTTTTGTTCATTTCAAAGAAGTCTCTGTAAAATGAAGATACATTTTTCATATAAAATAAATATGCAGTCAATAAAAAAAAAACTAAGGTCTGCTCACTACAGGAAATAAGAATGATTTCATCTCCAAGAACTGATTGCCAATTACTCAATAGTATATAAAAGCACTCTGCAACCAGTAAAGCACTAGAAACATCATATATCAGATTCAGACAATGCCACAGATAATTCTAAATAGCTGGAGGTTTCGCGATCATCATATTTTTAAGCAATTACATTTCTGTTTAGCTTCTACAATTCTTTTTCTTTCTTTCTTTCTTTTTTTTTTTTTTTGACAGAGTTAAACAGAGAGAAAGGTCTTCCCTCCGTTGGTTCACCCCGGAAATGGCCGCTACGGCTGCAGCTAAGCTGATCAGAAGCCAGGAGCCAGGTGCTTCTTCCTGGTCTCCCACATGGGTGCAGGGGCCCAAGCACTTGGGCCATCCTCTACTGCCTTCCCGGGCCACAGCAGAGAGCTGGACTTGAAGAGGAGCAAATGGGACTAGAACTCGGCGCCCATATGGGATGCCGGCGCCATAGGCGGAGGATTAACCAAGTGAGCCACAGCACCGGCCCCTAGCTTCTACAATTCTACTGCAGATTTCTTTGGGAGGAAGGGCAACTAGCAAAGAGGTTGTCAACTTACTTCTCAAATGCACTATTAGGGTAGAGAGCTACTTCCCTGAACATAAATAAAACTTTCCACAAAACTGCAGAAATCTCTCAGGATGTTCCCAGGCCAATGATCAAGCAGTTTAGAATTACTTTCCAGAGCTGGTATTGTGATGTTGCAGGTGAAGCTTCTGCTTGCAGCGCCAACATCCCATACTGGTGCTGGTTCATGTTCTGGCTGCACCACTTCCAATCCAGCTCCTGCTATGGCCTGGGAAAAGCAGTGGAAGATGGCCCATGTGCCTGGGCCCCCGTAGCCGACAAGGGAGACCTGGAAAAAGCTCCTGGCTTGCCCAGCCCTGGCCATAGCAGCCATCTGGAGAGTGAACCAGCGGATAGACGACCTCTGACTCTCCCTCTCTCTCTGTAACTCTTTCAAATAAATAAATCTTAAAAAAAATTACTTTCCAACAACTCCCAGTTCCAGCTTTAATTCTCCGAGATCTTGGCTTGGATAGGCAGGATGAAAAACAGTACCATGCTGAAGTCCAGTACCTTGATAAAATACAGTAAGTCCCTCAGTTCCCCTTTCTGAACATTCCTCAGTAATGATCTCACCTTTCAAAGAATTCTAGGGAAGCATTACTAATGACTGCACTGCGAGTGCTCTCTCACCCCAAACTCTCTGCTTTCCTCAACGCCTGTGTGGCCTACCTGCTCTGGTACTCAGGAGAAAAGTAAAAATGGGCTGCTGTCCAAAGTTCTTGATGGCCAGGTATCTCTCCTCGCCTCTCACGGACCCGTCCACACGCTCGTAACTGTAGCCTGTACACGGTGGGGTGGAAGGGGAGATAGAGAAATCGTAACCCTTTTCAAGGACTCAGGTCAGCCTCAAACCAAACACCAAGCCTGCCTCTTTTCTTATATAGGTATGCCCCTGCTTGAATAAACCCTATGGAGAAAATTCTAAATTTGGGGGGACAAATCCTAACATACTACTTTGGGACTTAAAAACACAGGTGTCGCTCCCCGTCTTCGTGGAGGAACGACACAGGACCCTGCGCTGTTCTTTCGTCTGCTCGGCCCTCCCCGGGTTTGCTGCTGGTTCTTCCCGGGTTGGCTTAAAGAATTCCAAGCTGGCTTACGTCTCCGCCTCGGCCTGCACTCGCGGCTTCATCCTCCCTAACATTTTTCTCTACCCGGTATGTTTCCCTAAGTTTTCTTCCAACAATATTCCTCCCTCATTTCTCCTGGCCTCTCCCCACAGTCCGTATCCAAGTCTAAGTTTCTTATAGGTTTCACTTTCACTTTCAACCTGCAGTCCGTATCTGAGTCTAAGTTTCTTCTTGCTTTCACTTTCAATCCTAACTTCTTTCCCACAGTCCGTATCCGAGTCTATGCCTAGGCTTTCGATAGCTTCTTCCGGCACCTTTTCTGTCCGGCTTTTCCCTAGGCTCTTTGCTAGTCTCTCTCTCCGGTATTTTCCACTTCTTCCCGTTTCTTCCCTCCTAAGTTTCCTATCCGAGTCACGGCACCATTATGTCGCTCCTCGTCCTCGTGGAGGAACGACACAGGACCCTGCACTGTTCTTTTGTCTGCTCGGCCCTCCCCGGGTTTGTTGCTGGTTCTTCCCGGGTGGGCTACCAACCCTTCCACCTCCGTGGAAGGGCGGTTCCCCCTGCCACATTCCCCACTTCCGCGGGGGAGCGGCACACCGCCGGCCGGCTCTCTCGGGGGCTGCACAGGTGTTCCCCTTAGATGTTCCTGGTGCATGTTGTCTCTCTCCTCCTTTATAGTCCTCTTCCACCAATCCCAACTCTGCTACCCACACACCGAGTACGCTGCTCTCCTCCAATCAGGAGCAGGTCCCACAGTTTATTGGTTGAACTGGAGGCAGCTGTGTAGAAGCTGTTTCCCTTCTCAGCGCCATATTGTGGGAGAGCAGATGCATAGAATAAGTCTTAATTCCAGTAACTTAGTCTAGTCCAAGTTGCTCCCAGTTGCTCCCCACACACAGGCAGTCAAAATTTTATGTAGTTATGGAATCTGCACTCAGTCATGACTATTCCTGGGAGAGCCTGAAGGTCCACCCTGTGCAGCAGTTTCTACTCGCTGAGACACAACTCTGACTTATGCAAGCAGTAAGACAAGCACTTGAGAGCAGATGAGCAAGCCCACCTGATGGCCCACTATCTGCCTGTCAGTGAAGCTTCAGGGTTTTCCACTTGTCACCACGCATCCAGGTCAGGAAGGGGAGTTATATATTCAGGCCTTCCTCATGCATTATAGCATTTATCCAAGTGTCCGCTGGACCAGATACACTGCAGTACTTGAGGTAGCATCAATTTGGTCTAAGAGACTCACTCTGGACTTTTTAAACTGTACTATCTGGAACTGATACTTCCTTCACTTCTGGGCTCAAGATCAACCAACAGAGGTCAGCATATCTTGGAGAATATCCAGTGCTGTAAGCACAGCAGGTTAAGCCACCACTTGTGACACCAGTATCCCATATCAGCGTGAGTGCCAGTTTGAGTCCCAGCTGTTCCACTTCTGATCCAGCTCCCTGCTAACATGCCTGGGAAAAGCAATGGAAGATGGTCCAAGGGCTTGTGCCCATGCCACCCATGTGGAAGTTCCAGGGGGAGTTCCTGGCTTCAGCCTGGCCCAGCCTTAGCCACTGCAGTCATCTGGGGAGTGAATCAGTGGATAGAAGACATCTCTGTCTCTGCCTTTCAAATAAATAAATCTTTTTTTTTTAATGTCAACCAATATTATGGTCTTTCCCCCATCATCCCACATAAACTTTATTACCTATTAAACAGCAGTCCTAGGTAATTATTTACATCTCCCATCGTATATACAGAATTAACTGATCTGATCTTCCCCCTGGTTGATTTATAGATCTTTTCTACTGATGCTGAATAAGCACTCAACTGTCTGAATGTTATACATACAGAACTATTTATTTATCATACATTTGCAAAAACACTCAACATTTCTGCAGCATTTGCTCCAGCGCCCATGATTTTAAATCACGTAAGTGCTGGGAATGTGGGTGCTCACTTCTGCCCAGCACCTCGACTGCTGTCAATCCTTGCCCTCACACAACTCTCCTTACTTTTGCATCCTCTTTTGGTTCTAAGCTATGTTCTTGCGTGGCTTTCCTTTATAACATTCTCACAAACCATATTTCCCTTCCTGTACCCATCTGAGTGTTAAATCTAAAAAATACTTAGGGAACGCGGTGGCCAAGGGGTGTCACCTCTGTAATCCATATAGTCTTGGAGAATATCCAACATCTGGGTCATCTGGGAGAAAAGTAAAACCCGATGGCCCCTGGCAAGAAAAAAGAAAAGGAGAAACTGCCAATTCTAGTTATATTTAAGGTGAGTTTCCCTCAGGCAAAACTTACCAAAGAACACAAGCTCATAAATAAATGAAATACAAGTACTGAAGTAGAAACGTAACTGTCATGTACTGCACGGACTTGCTCAGAAACTCCCAGTGCTTTACATTAAGACTCTGCCCCCATACACAGCTGTATCCTTCAGAGCAGTGCTCAAACTAGAGTGCAGACACTCCCAGGAGCACATGTCAGCACGCCAGTGGGTATAAGAAGTCCTACAATAACCAAGATGACTCTTTCTGGGACACCAATTTACACATGAAAAAAATTTAAGCTTTCATTTTAATAGCAAAACAAATATACATCTGTTAAGAGTAAATGTAGGGCTTGGTCCTTCTTTCTACCAGCCCTTCCTTTTGTTTGGAGTCTTTCTTATTCTTACGTAAATAAATCTTCATTTCTTCTACTCTCAAAAAAAAAAAAAAGTGAAACACAAATTCAGATGCACATGCACACACATATACACACACACAAACACACACATAAGCACAACCCAGAGAGCCCGAAGAGCCCTCCACAGCTGTTCTCTACTTGGGGGTATAAAACTACTATGCTCACATCGACAGCTGCAATGGCTGAAAAGTTTGTAAAGGATCACTTCAGACAAGCAAGGGGAGAGCTGACATCTCATCTCCCATAAGGCATGAGAAAACTTACATATAGGAAGAAAAGACAGAAAAGGAAGACACAAAATGATGGATTAAGCCAAGGATGAACTAAAGCCTAGAGTCCCTCATTACCAGCAAACATTTTAATTTTAAATTTGCACAAAGAAAGCAGCACAGTGCTCTCAAAGCAGTATCTTCATTATAAAAATCAACTTAATCTGAGCTTGCAAGAAGTGTACAATGCTCTCCTTCAAGGATCTATCCCCAGGTAAAGGGAAAGAGCACGGAACCTGAAGATGTGGGTCTCAATTCTAACTGCATCTCTGCCACCTGCTGGCTACGTGACCTTAGAAAAGTCACACAACCTTTCTGGGCCTGTGAAATAAAAAAATTGAATAGAAGGTATTCATGGGCCCTTCTCCAACTACAACACACTTACGGTACTTAAACTAGAAATACACGAAGATGTACAACTATTTAACTTGCACATTCATAAGGTTAAGCAATTTTGCCAAATCGGAAGTTTAGATTATGAAGCTCAGGCCGTGTCTGGGACAAGCTGGACCCAAGGGACAACACTGAAGTCTTTGAGAATCTGGGCTTTCTCTACCTCCTCTTTCCCTCTGCTGACTGGGAGGATTGGGTACAAGCTGGACACCAGGCTGCTGAACACTAACTTATCCTGGTCTTTTGATGCCTAACTCATGTCTCTGGGAAAGAGTTCCCCAAGTTCCCATTGAGTTCAAGTCACACCCACAAGTCAAGAAAAATGAATGAGCCCTTGCTATATGACAATTTAAGGCAAGGTACCAGTAGGCAATTATAAAAGAAATGTTTCAGGGTGTCTCTGTCCTTAAGGAACCAAATAATGTAGCTGAGTGATTGAGACCAACATGTGCCAGTTACCCAGACAGCAGATTAAGGGAGGGCACTGCCACGTGCTGGACTGCGATCCTAAGTGCTGTAGGAATTCAGGAAAGGATGACTATGGGAGGAGTAGGGCGAGTGTGCAGTCACAGAGCCCACAGAACCTCAATCAGCATCTTAAAAAAAAAAAAAAAAAAAAAGGAAAAATGGAGTCCATCTAAAAAAAAATCACTAAGTTCCTCATTATTCAGGTCTCTCAGTTACTAGCTCAGAGCACACAATATGAATCTACCACCTACCTGGAATACAGGAATGCCAGGAGCTTATCCAGCAGGTGAAGTTTCCCACTGGCTTCGATTAGGTGGTCTCCAACTTCAAAAGGCTCTGGCTCCACACCTGGAAAACAAAGAATCCACTCCCAGTAATGTGCCCTCAGTCACGACAGACTCCTTGAGTAGAGAAGTGGATAGTTACCTATGCTACAGTGACAGGTCAAGCCCCTTCTAACTGATAATGGACCCAAACCTCATCTCTCTTCGAGGCACTTTCTAAGCATTTATTTGTAAGATGATTTCATTGCTGCTTAACACCAATCACAGAGCCTAGAACACCCAACAAACCTAATAAGCATTTATCTAAGGATCAAATGCACCCTTCAGGAAACTGAGGCACAGGAAGATGCTAAAGATCAAAGAGACCAAAATTTAAAATCTTGATTCTCTCACTGTAGAAAGTTAATCAAGAAACAGGCTTAGGGGGCACTGTGGTGCGGTGGCTAAGTCAGCATCTATGATGCTGACATCCTATATGAGTGCTGGTTCAAGTCCCATCTGCTCTACTTCAGGTCCAGCTCCCTGTTAATGCGTCTCAGAAGGCAGTGGAAGATGGCCCAAGTGCCCAAGATGGCCCTACCGGGATGAAGCTCCTGGCTCCTAGGCCATTATTAGCATTTAGGGAGTGAACCGGAGGATGGGAGATCTCTCTCTCTCTCTGTCTCTTTCTAACTCTGCCTTTCAAATAAATAAACAGGCTTAGATATATAATCTAGCTGTTCTCAAGGTATAAGATGGTAGTCAATTACCTAGGGAGTTTTTGAAAAAAAAAAAAAAATCAACATGAACATGTTCCTAATGCTCCCTTTCTCTTAAAAGTTCTGATATGCACCTAATCAAGAATCTGTGAAAAAAAAAAATTTTTTTTTTGGACAGGCAGAGTGGACAGTGAGAGAGACAGAGAGAAAGGTCTTCCTTTTGCCGTTGGTTCACCCTCCAATGGCCGCTGCAGCTGGCGCACCACGCTGATCCAAAACCAGGAGCCAGGTGCTTATCCTGGTCTCCCATGGGGTGCAGGGCCCAAGCACTTGGGCCATCTTCCACTGCACTCCCGGGCCACAGCAGAGAGCTGGCCTGGAAGAGGGGCAACCAGGACAGAATCCAGCGCCCTGACCAGGACTAGAACCTGGTGTGCCGGTGCCGCAGGCAGAGGATTAGCCTATTGAGCTGCGGCGCCGGCCGAAAAAAATTTTTTAAAGACTTATTTATTTGGAAGGCAGAGTTACAGAGCAAGGGTGTGGGTTGTGGGGAGACAGAGAAATCTTCCATCTGCTGGTTCATTCCCCAGATGCCTGCAGGAGTTAGGGCTGGCCCAAGTGAAAACCAGGAGCCAGGATTTCCACCCAGGTCTCCCACGTGTGTAGCAGGGGCCAAAGCATTTGGGTCATTTTCTGCTTTCCTAGGCACATTATCAGGGAGCCTGATTGGAAGCAGGGCAGCTGGGACTTGAATCTGTGTTCATAAGGGATGCTGGCATCGCAGGCAATGGCTTAACCTGCTGTACCACAATGCTGAACCCCTGTGGAATTTTTAAGCACCTCATAACACTACTTGGCAAAGATTTTCTTACAATGACTACAGCAAACTCCCTGCCTAGATTCTAGAGTAAAGTCACAGAAGTCCTGGACTTGCCCAACCACAGGTCACCAGAGTGAATACAAAAAGCCTCCGTCTGCAAGACAATGTGCAGGAGGCAGCTCAAAGCAGGCGGGGCACTTACAGAAGCCTGTAAGTGAAGGGGAGGCAGCAGAGGAGACTGAGAGGGAGCAGGGGAAGGCAGAAGCAGAAACACAGAAAGTGTGACCCCAGAAGCTTCGAGAAAGAAGTGATGGACTGTGTAGAAGGGGTACCAAAATGTGAATGGACAGCTTCTGGCTGGGCAACGCCAGGATCACCAGTGAGCTTGGAACAGAGATGACAAAAGGCTGAGCGAGCTCACGACAATGGGAAATCTGATCATTAAGAAAGAACTGGTTAACCCCGCATGATGGCACAGCTGCACAATGGCCGGCTCCACTGGCCTTGGATCTTCAAAGTTGTCAATGTCATGGAAGACAAAAAAGACAACAAAAACCAGAGATGCTAAAGAAAGTTTCTAGATTATTGGAGAGTAACAGCCAAGATCTATGACCGAAACTTAGATTTAAAAAAAAAGAAATAAAAAGAGCCATAAAAGCCATGAGGGGGACAACTGAAGGAATCTGAATATGAACAATATATTATAAGCACTAGCACACGTTGATCATCTGTGATCCAAAACTCTGAAATCCAAAACGTGCCACCCACTCAAGAAGTCTCAGTTTTGGAGCGTTGTGAACCTTCGGATCAGGGACGCTCAATGGGTAATATCTGAGCAAATATCCAAAATTAAAAAAAAAAAAAACTTCAAAATTTAAAACTTTTGGTTGCAAGCATTTCAAATTAGGGATATTCAACCTGCCCAAAGAAAATAAGAACAAACAAAGCAGACATAGTAACAGAGGCAATTCTTTTTTAAGAATTTTTAAAATTTCACCACAAAAAAGTTAGCAAAAAATAATATAAGGAAAAGGGCACTGTCTCACCATCAAATAAATAAGGGTGATCCACACACTTTCGAAGCTGGGATAAGATGTTCTGAAGTTTAACTTTCTTTGCCATCCCATTTTCAAATGCATCTGAAATTAAAATATATACATATTTATATATAGTGACAGAGAGAAAGATATACTATAGAACCAAACACCCCCTCCCAAAAAAAAATAAACCTAGGTTTTCATAAATAGCCTTACTAATTTTTTTTAATGTAAACTTGTAAAGTGCCTTTAGGAAATGGAATTTCATTTCAAGGAAAGCAGTGATTTCATCTCCAGTGCACTGATGCTTTTTTTTTTTTTTTTAATTTATTTATTTATTTGAAAGTCAGAGCTATACAGAGATAAAGGTCTCCCATCCAATGGTTCACTCTCCAGTTGGCCACAACAGCCGGAGCTGTGCCAATCCGAAGCCAGGAGCCAGGAGCTTCCTTCAGGTTTCCCACATAGGTGCAGGAGCCCAAGAACTTGGGCCATCTTCTACCGTTTTCCCAGGCCATAGCAGAGAGCTGGATTGGAAGTGGAGCAGCCGGGTCTCAAACCGGCGCCCATATGGGATGCCGGCGCTTTAGGCCAGGGCGTTAACCTGCTGCACCACAGCGCCGGCCCCAACTAATTTCTATACTATGTCCTTCAATCCTAAATTAACTTCCCAGATTTCCCTGAATTGAGAACGGCTTACTCATATGTAATTTTCCTATCTTCTTGTTTAAAGAAGGAAACTTAAACCATAAATTGAACTCTATAATACTTTGAATTCTTTTTCCAAAATTCTAAATTGGCTTCTTTAATTGTAAAGTCAAGAAAAAAAAATTGAGAGACTGTTTCACTCCTCCTGGTGAATTTAACAAAAACAACAATTTCTAGCCCATTAAATACAAGGGAGCTTCAAAGAGTTGGTAGCAAAAACAGAATTTAGAGATGAGTTTCCGGGGCTGGCGCTGTGGCACAGCGGGTAAGGCTGCCATCTGCAGTGCCAGCATCCCATATGGGTGCCGGTTCAAGTCCCAGATGCTCTACTTATGATCCAGCTCTCTGCTGTGGACTGGGAAAAGCAGCAGAGGATGGCCCAAGTCCTTGGGTCCTTGCACCAACTTGAGAGACCTAGAAGCTCCAGGCTCCTGGCTTCGGACAGGCCAAGCTCCAGCCACTGAGACCATTTTGGCAATGAATCAGCGGATGGAAGACCTCTCTTTCTCCCTCTCTGCCTCTGTCTCTGTAACTCCACCTTTCAAATAAATAAATAAATTTTAAAAAAGAGATGAGTTTTCCATGAATTTTGTGAAGCCCCCTTGTATCCATCAGGGTGTGAGGAAGGCAAACACAAAAGTGCTTAATTTCTATAAGCAGGGTGAGAAAAAAAGAGAATTTCACAACAGCAAACACCAAGTCTGAGTTACATCTGAGATTCTCTGCTGCAGCCCCCACTGTGGCTGCCCCAAGTACCACACAGAACAGAAAATCCTGCCCCCATTCTTGCTGTGCAAAGCTGAGTGTGATTCTGCACTTACCCAGGTCCTTCATCAAGACGGCCTTGTAGCACTTCTTCTGCAGCGCGGACAGGCCGTGGTACAGCACCACTTCCGTCTTCTTGGGAAGCTCCGTGGCCACCTCAGCCTTCACTCGCCTCAGCAGAAACGGCTGCAAGAGCTCGTGCAGCTCGCTTGCTGTGTGAGGGAAAAACCCAAGTGTGGGACAGAGCGGGGCCCAGGCACTGGAGTCCTAGACGACACACAGCCATTTTAACTTCGCATTGCCATTCTGAGTCTGTGCGCCAAGCAAGAATTAAATTTCACTTTTTCACTGGATTCTTCTTCCCAAATCCTTCTGGAACCATAACTGGCTCTTAATCCAAGAACCAGGAACACTCAAAGAACTTATTAATAATCTCAGTTGCCTGAAGCTCTTTTGTTTCCAGAGTATTTCTACATCTAATCTCATTGATCAGCAGAACGGCACAGAAATGTAAGGAAAGTAAAACTGTCACTACTCTCACAACCAAGTTAAGTGAGGCTCAGAGAAATGAAGCAACTGATCCGAAGTCACACAGCTGGAAATGAACGGTGCCAGTACTCAAACCTAGTCCTTTTGACTTCGAGGGCCTTGTTTCCTCCACAAGTATGCTGAATTTTAAAACCTAGCCTAAACTAAAATTACACTATCTGTAAGGTTGACATATGCAATAAATAAAAATATAAATAAAAAAGAACCTGGCTAAATGTGAACAAGGGGCCAGCACCATGGTACAGCAGGTTAAGCTACCACCTAAGACGCAGACATCCCTTATGAGTACCAGTATGAGTCTCAAATGCTCTATTTCCAACCTAGCTCTCTGCTAAGGTGAATGGGAAAGCAGCTACAGATGGCCCCAGTAGTAGGCCCCTTGCCACCCACAAAGGAAACCCAGATGGAGTTCCAGGTTCCCAGATTCAGCCTGGCTCAGCTCCAGCAATTACAGCCATTTGGAGAGTGAACCAGTGGAAGGAAGATATCTCTTTCTCTATCTCTGCCTTTCAAACAAGTAAATAAGTATTTAAAAAAAAAAAAAAAAACTGAAAAACAAATTCAAGCATCCTAGGAAATACTTGGTTGGATTTCCTCTATATTATCTGGCAACTCGGAACACAGGCTCAGTCAGAGCAGGGTCCCCAGGCAATCTTCAGCCTATGGAATGCAGATTTTTGCTGTGTGAAGCCTATTCAACTCACACTTACCCAAACACATATATGCTCACTAGCTGACATGCTTTCCATTTATTCCAAATCACCATCCTACAGTAATATCACAGGTAGAGAGAGGTAATTCTACAAGGCAGAGGGGTACGGTATGAGAGAAAGCTGCCAGCTGTCTAAATAAAGCTTCCACACCCCAAGTCAGAGAATTTATGCTTAAAAAAATACAGAGAAGGCCGGCGCCGCGGCTCAATAGGCTAATCCTCCGCCTTGCGGCGCCGGCACACCGGGTTCTAGTCCCGGTCGGGGCCCAGATTCTGTCCCAGTTGCCCCTCTTCCAGGCCAGCTCTCTGCTGTGGGCAGGGAGTGCAGTGGAGGTTGGCCCAAGTGCTTGGGCCCTGCACCCCATGGGAGACCAGGAGAAGTACCTGGCTCCTGGCTTCAGATCAGCGCGGTGCACCGGCCGCAGTGCGCCAGCCACGACGGCCATTGGAGGGTGAACCAACAGCAAAAGGAAGACCTTTCTCTCTGTCTCTCTCTCTCACTGTCCTCTCTGCCTGTAAAAAAAAAAAAAAAACACACAGAGAAAACCTTCAGTTCTGATATACGTGTTTGGGAAAAGTTAAGTTTAGGCCTTATGCAGAACAGAAGGATTTTAGAGTTCTTCTAAAATGAGTCTGAGTTCACTTTTCCTTTTAAAAACATTTGAAATGCTAGAGCAACTATTCATTGTCCTGTTTTGGGTGGTACACACCAGAAAAATCCAGTTCTGTTACTACTAATCAGGATATCAGATCTTGCACTCCAGCTACCTCAGACTTTGGTGTCAGTGTTGTGGTGTCAGAGGCTGGTGTTATGATGCAGTGAGCTAAGCTGCCATTTGCAATGTCGGCATCTGTATCAGAATGCCGGTTCAAGTCCCAGCTGCTCCGCTTCCAATCCAGCTCCCTGCTAATGTGCCTAGGAAATCAGAGGAGGATGCACTTGGGCCCCTGCCATCCACGTGGGAGACTCGGATGGAATTCCAGGCTCCTGCCTTCTCCTGGCCACAGCCATTGAGATCATTTGGAGAATGAACCAGCAGACAGAAGTGTGTGCTCACATGTTCTCTCTCTCACTCTACCTTTCAAATAAACAAGTCACTAAAAAAAGAAAAACACTGGCGTTGCAGGATGCGGAACAATAGTTTGGGACCGCAGAACTCACTTTTCTGCCCCAGGAAGTGGCATGGGAAGGTCATGATTTTACAGAAAGTTCAGGTTAGAAAAAAATACAGTCTGCAAATCTGTAGGCACTTTGTACCTCTTCCAAAAATGAACCAGAGGAGGCCTCTTATAGAATCCTCTAACAAGCGAGCCAGGTGCAGCAGACAATGGAAAAGCCTCAGAAATCGAGCATCCCCCTTTTTTAGTGGTTCTTCTTCTCCACGGAAGACATTCTCTGATGATTGATTCTTTTCTGCCTATAACCTTTCCATGCAAGGGCAGTTTCTGTGCCAAGACCTCTTGGGGATGATTTGTAGGAAGGGAACTTGCCTGACTTCGACTCTTTCTCAATATCCTGGTAACGCTGAACAAACTCTTCCACCTGTTCTTTGCAAAAGAGATCAGGCTCCACAAAACTGAGGAGGGAGTAGAGCTCCTGGAGGCTGTTCTGGATGGGCGTTCCGGTCAGCAGGAGACTGAAGACTACTGAGAACTTAAACACATATGTAAATAAAATTTAAAATCTAACATTCCAAAGCAAAACTGAGTTACCCACCACAACCTCTACCCATAAAAGTAGCATGATTTAATGGAAGACCAAGTGACATGAAATCAGAAGAATCAAGTTCAAGTTGGATACCAGCTGTCTGATGTAAGAAAAACAGCTCTTCAGGGGCCAGTGCTGTGTGGCACAGCGGGTAAAGCCACCACCTTCAGTGCCGGCATCCCATATGGGCACCTGTTCGAGTCCTGGCTGCTCTACCTCTGATCCAGCTCTCTGCTATGGCCTGAGAAAGCAGTAGAAGATGGCCCAAGTCCTTGGGCCCCTGCACCCGTGTGGGAGACCCAGAAGAGGCTCCTGGCTCCTGGCTTCGGATGGGTACAGCTCAGGCTGTTGTGGCCAACTGGGGAGTAAACCAGCGGATGGAAGACCTCTCTCTCTCTCTCTCTGCCTCTCCTTCTCGCTCTCTGTAAATCTTTCAAGTAAATAAATAAATCGAAAGGAAAAGAAAAGAAAAAGAAAAAGAAAAAGAAAAAAAGAAAAAGAAAAAGAAAAAGAAAAAGAAAAAGAAAAAGAAAAAGAAAAAGAAAAAGAAAAAGAAAAAGAAAAAGAAAAGAAAAACAACTCTTCAGTTTCAACTATAAGAAGGGGATAGGGCCAGCACTGTGGCGCCAGCATCCCATTTGGGCACCGGTTCCAGTTCTGGCTGCTCCACTTCCTATCCAGCTCCCTGCTGATGGCCTATGAAAGCAGTAGAAGATGGCCCAAGTGCTTGGGCTCCTGCACCCATCTGGGAGACCCAGAAGAAGCTCCTGGCTTCAGATAGGTTCAGCTTTGGCCACTGCGGCCATGTGGGGAGTGAGCCAGTGGATGGAAGACCTCTCTCTTTCTTTCTATCTCTCCTCTCTCAGTAAGTCTGCCTCCCAAGTAAATAAATAAATGCTTAAAAGGGGTGCGGGGGCGGGGGGGGGGGAGGGGGCGGATAATAATCCTATGGCGAACATACTTTTGCAAGGATTACCACCTTGTGAACTCTGAAGTTGTACAAGAGCATTCAACATGGCTGTTGTAATTCAAACTATGTCAGAAATTCAGACTATGTGTTATTACCTATGTGGGCATGTCTACTGAAGTGCCACTATCTCAGTGCATATACTCATGCAGTTTGTGAAGTCCAAAGCTATATCCGGCCCTACCACTACAAGCATGAAGACCTTTATTAAAACATTGGGGCCGACGCTGTGGTGTAGTGGGTAAAGCCACCATCTGCAGTGCTGGTATCCCATATGGGCACCAATTCAAGTCCCAGCTGCTCTGCTTCTGATCCAGCTCTCTGCTGATGACTGGGAAAGCAGAAGAAGATGGTCCAAGCCCTTGGTTCCCTGCACCTGCACGGAAGACCCGGAAGAAGCTCCTGGCTCCTGCCTTCAGACTGGTCCAGCTCTGGCCACTGTGGCCATTTGGAGAGTGAACCAGCGGATGGATAATCTCTCTCTCTCTCTGCCTCTGCCTCTCTGTAACTCTTTCAAGTAAAATAAATAAATCTTTTTTCTTTTCGTTTTTTTTTTTTTTTTTGACAGGCAGAGTGGACAGTGAGAGAGAGAGAGAGAAATGTCTTCCATTTTTCCATTGGTTCACCCCCCACAATGGCTGGTGCAGCCAGTGCACCGCGCCGATCCAAAGCCAGGAGCCAGGTGCTTCTCCTGGTCTCCCATGAGGGTGCAGGGCCCAAGCACTTGGGCCATCCTCCACTGCACTCCCAGGCCACAGCAGAGAGCTGGCCTGGAAGAGCAGCGACCGGGACAGAATCCGGTGCCCCATCCGGGACAGAACCTAGGGTGCCAGCGCCGCAGGCAGAGGATTAGCCTATTGAGCCGCGGCGCCAGCCAAAATAAAATGCCCTTTTGTAAATCTTTATGCTGGATCAGATGAAAGACAGTAAGACTTCTGAATGTTTCTGGATACAGGGCCATATGCAATCTCAAATAGAAAGGAATTTTAGAAATCCTGAGAAATAGAAAAACATCAAGAATAAGAGAATAATGAAGTAAAAGGTTAGGAAAAACAGGTCAAGCAAAGGACAACTTTTGAATCAGTATTAACAAGAACTTAAACCATTAGAACTAAATAATATGGCAAAGTGGGAAAGCCATATCCTACGTAAGGTATTAAGTATCAAAATACAATATGTGGCCAGCACCGAGGCTCACTAGGCTAATCCTCTGCCTGCAGCACCAGCACCCCGGGTTCTAGTCCCGGTTGCTCCTCTTCCAGTCCAGCTCTCTGCTGTGGCCCAGGAAGGCAGTGGAGGATGGCCCAAGTGCTTGGGCCCTGCACCCGCATGGGAGACCAGGAGGAAGCACCTGGCTCCCAGCTTCAGATCCACATGGCACACCAGCCGCAGAGGCCATTTGAGGGGTGAACCAACCGAAGGAAGACCTTTCTCTCTGTCTAACTGCCTGTCAAAAAAAAAAAAAAAGATACAATATGTATATGTGCATATATTTACACAAAGGATACTTTAAAATAATTTGTGGAAAATAGAATTAAAAGTAGTTTGGGTGCAAAACAATTTTGAAATCTATGTATATGGGAGTACACAAAAATTTCACGGAAAATGCATATTATGAAAAAGCTATACAGGGATAGTACACACATTACTTATTGCATCTTTGTGTTTGAAGCAAACATTTTTATAAGTAACACATATGCACTTATATGTGGACATACACACACACACATAGTCAAGAACACGTCAGCACACACACCAAAGTGTTAACATAAGAGGATCACTGAGTGTTCTCCCTTTCTGTCTTTCCACGTTAATTTGGGAAGGAATCCTAAGAAGATACTGTTTTTATAATTAGAAATAGAGTGCAATAAATTAAAACTGATTTTAAAAACCTTTCTTTCAATCTCCTTTGCTTCTCCTTGAAATGTCAAGTCAATGTCCACCCACTCATAGCAGCTCTGCTTGCTGGGCAATGTTGTCACAGTGTCTCAAGTATGGGAACTGGCCAAAAAGAAATGTTTCCAATAACCAGTTCACATTTTCACAATACATGTTCACCAGGTAAAGAGCAGAGGTGACAAAAGAATATGTAGCCACAAAGAGAACCGAGATGGCCAGTTACCATAATCAGCTTATCCTACGGCACAGATTAACCTTTGATTCAAATTAGTGTCCATTTTGCATCAAAACTTACAACTGGACAAAAAAGAAAAAAAATCCAGAAACAATCTCAGCTTCTATTTTATAATTTTTTTTATTTCTAAAATACTCTGCCATTATTTTTCAGGCTATTAAATATTCTTCTATATAATGTCTTATGGCAGTCTTACTTTGTAAACACTATGGATATAGAACAAATTGTGTAACTAAATCTCCATGTTTCATATTTAGGTTGCTTCTAACTCTTTACAAATAAATTGGTACCCCTTTCCTCACCTTAGTCCAATAAACAAATATATTTCTTTCTAACCAACTTGCTAACCTGCAATCCAAATTTCACCTAAACAGGCAGAATCAGATGACCCAGAACAACTTCTCACAAACCCCACTAAGCCTCAGTTTCTCTGCAAATAACAAGCCTCTGGGACCAATGAGAAGACTCAGTTTCCCGGATCCAGCTCCACAGTGCTCTTACTACACCTGCTTCCCTTCTCCCATCGTGAATTAGTAACCTGCTCTGTTAGTTTTTGGAGCAGTTGGTCATAAGGTTAGACACCAGGATATGACAACTGCTATGATTTCAACATTCAAAATTTTCCTTCAAAATCCAGGTGTTGCCAATGTGATGGTATCAAGAGGTGGGGCCTTGATGGTATTAAGATCTTTCTGGGCCTTGAGGGCTCCTCCCTCATGAATGGGATTAATGCCCTTATAAAAGGGGCTTCACCCAGTTTCTCTTCTGCTCCCTCTTGCCCTTCCACCTTCTGCCACAAGGATGCAGCAAGAAGGCCCTCACCAAATGCTGTACCTACAGATTGAGATACGTTTATGTTCATCACAGACCACCCAGTCTGTGGTGTTCTGTTACAGCAGCACAAATGGACGAAGACAACGATCTCTTGGAAAACAGGCCCTGTTAACAGTCCCTACAAAGCAAAGAACACCAGAAAGCAGCAGGGACCCACCAGGAGACAGCAATCTTTCAGATTAATACACAGTGCCCAGCACCTGCACCAAAACTCTAAAATCTGCACCACATAGGTCAGATCTAACAACCTCTAAATTCATTAACTGATCTATTATGGGTCAGGGACCAAACTTTAATTATCATCACAGAAATGAACATACATAGTCCTTTAGCAGCTCAACAAAGAGAAGGGAACTTCACACTCCACTGGCTCCTCAGAGAAAAAGAGCGAATCTCGGCTGCTACAGTATTTCTCAGCTACTTTGCCAGAATGATGCAAGATCAAGAGAGTAAGGGCAAAGTATATAACACTCAAAAGTATGACACAAACAAGAGAGACTGAAGGTAACAGTCAATGGCATGAAATCAGCCACTCCTGATTCCAGGTGAACCGCAAATTGGGTAAGGAGTAAAATAAGTTCAATATACCTTGCTATTGCAGGCTGAAGAATTATAATTTTTAAGAGAAATTGCCCCTTTGAAGATGATCAAAAGAGTAGAAACATTTCCAGAACCACATGCACTTTATTGGGCAGGTCTTATTTATTTGAAAACCAAATTTTAGTAAATATGATCTAAAGACCACAGAAAGCAGCAGCAGCTAGGCCTTATTAAGTACAACTTCCATCAGCCATAAGATGTTCATTCAGCACTGCACAAATCTCACTGGGAAAAAATGTTTCGATTTGTTGGTCTCTATACTAGTCTAATTTTTTTTAAAAAAAGTCATGGGGCAGGTGTTTGGCACAGCAGTTCAGACTCCACTTGGGACACCCATATCCCATATTCAGATGACTGGGATCTAGTACCAGCTCAGCTCCTATTCAAGCTTATGATTTATGTGCGCCCCGGGAGGCAGCAGGTGATGGCTCAAGTAGTTGGGTCCCAGCTACCCATGTGGGAGACCTGGATTGAGTTCCCAGCTCCTGGGCATGTGGGGAGTGAACCAATAGATGGCAGGTTCATCTATCTCTGTCTCTGTTTCTCAAATAATTAAAAAAAAAAAAAAGTTACAGTAGGGAGGGAGGGATGAATAGGTGGAACACACACAGAGAATTTTTCAGGCAGTGAAACCACTCTGTATGACACCATGATGTCAACATATGTCACAGAACATACAACACTAAGAGCGAACTCTAAGGTAAACTACCCATCTTGGACAAGCACAATGTGTCAGTGCAGGCTCATCTCCCCTAACAAATGCACACTGCAGTGCTGGATGCTGGCAGGAGGGGAGGCTGTGCATGTGGGGTGCAGGAGACGGCATTTTGGAAATGTCTTTACCATCCTCTCAACTTTTTTTTTTAAAGATTTATTTATTTGAAAGTCAGAGTTACACAAAGAAAGAAGAGGCAGAGAGAGAGAGGGAGGGAGGGAGGGAGGGAAAGAGGTCTTCCATCCACTGGTTCACTCCCCAATTGGCCACAATGGCCAGAGCTGTGCTGATCCAAACCAGGAGTCAGGAGCTTCCTCTGCGTCTCCCACACAGGTGCAGAGACTCAAGGTCTTGGACCATCTTCTACTGCTTTCCATAGCAAGAGCTGGATCGGAAATGGGACAGCCAGGACTCGAACCAGTGCCCATATGGGATGCCCGCACTGAAGGCAGCACCTTTACCTGCTTTGCCACAGGGCCAGCCCTCTGCTCAACTTTGCTGTGAATCAAAAACTATTTCAAGGTAAGGTCTATTTTTTAAAAAGAGGGGAGTGGTTTATATAAAATAGTAAGACTGTCTGGTGAGTTTACCTCTGAAAGTATCTTATGCAGCAGGGAGCTTTGGTTTTTCAACCTGTGAGCTTCATCCACAACAAGAACACTCCAAGGGAAGCTGTGAGAGAAAAATCCAAGCTTTCAGTGTCATGTAACTCAAACACATGCATAGCTCACCATCAAGAGTCTTACAGAAAAACTGTGAGTGTTGTTAGAAAGGCTAGCAGTAAGCTCATTCTATCAGAAATACACAAGTTGCCTTCCTCTTGAGATGTGGACATTTAAATAAGACAATACCTGGATAAGGCAGTAAAATTAAGCTTTTTCTCTCTCAAGTTGGAAGACACCTAGGCAGGAAGGGACCAGAAATAGAAAAGGAAACATGACCTCCTGCTAAGCACCACTGAGCTTAGGGCTTCCTGTGTTATTCAGTCCTAAGGCACATGGCAAGTAGACCACTTGTGCTCATTTTATCAACCAGAGACTAGAGCTCAGAAAGGTTAGCTGATTTGGTCAAAGTCATAGACAGAGCTCAGATTCAAACAAGAAAAATCGAGACAAAGGTGTTATTGAAACTAAAGACGTGTGTTTTCAACCAGGGAAGTGTGGCAGGGATGTCCAGGAAGACACAGCTGTTGGATTTAACCTGCAGGCCACTGGCAGCTGCTGCCAGAGCATGTTTCACAGCACAGGTTACAATAGCAATTTCTGAATAAGTTTCAGGCATAAAGCCTATTTTTCGACAGATACTGCTAAGAAGCCATTCCAATAAAAAAATCGTAACATGAAAGATGTATGCATGAATATCTTCCAAGGTGCATTATTTAAAACACTGAAAACAAAAAAACAAACAGGCCTTGCGATGCAGCAGGTGAAGCTGCCAGCTGGGACATCCACTACCCACACTGGAGAGCCTGGCTCCACTCCCAGCAGTTCTGCTTCCCATATAGATTCCTGCTAATGCATCCCGGCAGGCAGTGGGTGATGGCCCAAGTGCTTGGTTTCTGCAACCCATATGAGAGACCCAGATGGAGTTCCTGGCTCCTGGATTTGGCTTGGCCAGATCTGGCTATTTACAGGTATTTGGGAAGTGAACCAGTGAATAGAAGATGGATCTCTCTGTCTCTTCTTCCTTCACTGTCATTCTTTCAAATAAATCAATCTTAAAAAAAAAAACTAAAACCTTTTAAAAACCTAATTGTACAACAGGTAATGAAATACTATATAGCATTTTAAATATAATGTTGCAATAAAAGGCCTACAATATAAGTGTAAGCAATATAAGTATCATAATATGTTTTTTACACATGTGAAAACCAAGCAATAGTAATAAAGCAGAAACTGTAAGATTTTAACTTTTTATTGTTTCTAAACATTATGGAATCCAATACATTATCTTTACATTTAAAAACCAAAATGTGGATGGGTATTTGGTTCATCAATTAAAACGCTACTTGGGATGCCAGCAAACTATATAGCAGATCTAGCCCCAGCTCTGCTTCCAGTTCCAGCAATCTGCTGATTGCACTCTGGGAGGCAGCAAGTGATGGTTCAAGTACTTGGGTCCCTGCCACCCCTATGGGAGACTAGACTGAGTTCCTGGCTCCCAGCTTGTCCTTGGCCCCAGCCCCAGATTTGCAGGCATTTGCAAAAATCTGGGGAGTGAACCACTGGATGGAAGATCTCTGTCTCTCTGCCTTTAAAGTAAAATGAAAATAAGATTAAAACTAAATGTATGTACAGGAAAAACTGGGTACCAGAAAGACAATGGGTTCAGAAAGGAAATTCCTCCAAGACCTTGAGCGGAGGCTGACCTTGCCGGGAGAAAGGCCTCTCTTTCTGAGGCTACCAGGGCCAAGGCACAGGAGGAAGAAGAATCTGCCAACTACCACTCACTTTCCAAGAGTGATGCAAGCAAAGGGAGAACAGGGGCCCGACAAGAGTGCAGGAGGAAGTCCAAGCAGGGCTGGACAGCAAGAGCAGGAGACGCAGTTAAGGACTGCAAGGAACAAGGTGCAGATGAAGATGGACAGTGGTCAATCAGACAAGGTGCCAAAGTATTCATAGTGCAGTACCACTCAAAACAGACTGAGTCCTACTCCTACTCCCTTGTGAAGGAGTAGACACTTAGATTTTTACCCACACAGATATCCAATAAATGCCTGTTCAATCGAACAGACTATATGAAAATGGCTTTTGGCTCAGCAAAAGGAAGTGGATCTAGTCACTCATCAAAGGACACTCAAGAATGCTCCTCAAAGAGGAAGAGGAAGAAAGAATTCCAACACTGAATGGAGAGTCTGATGAGTTAACTTTTAACCCTCTTGCCCAAAAGTTTTCAAATTTTCACACTGCTAATGTGCACAGTCCTAACTTTCCATAATAGTCTAGAACAGAGATTATACAATACTTCTCCACTGATCTCAGAGTATTCAATATAGTAATATACACTATAATCTTGTCAATTATACTGGAAGAATATATCAGCTTTTTGGACTCATAACATTATACATATCCCTCTGTTACTTAGCTTCTTGAATCCACATGGAACTGCCTTCATAACAGACTATCTGAGATGCAAAGATGGCATTTCTGTTGAATAATGTGAAATTCCAGTGTAGAAATTTGGAGAAGCTCTCTTACAAGGCAGCTCCAGGGGCGACTGCTGTGGAGCAGCGAGCTAAGCTGCCTGTAACACCAGGATCCCATATCATGGTATTTCAAGTCCCAGCTACTCCACTTTCAATCCAGCTTCCTGCTAACACACCTGGAAAAGCAAAAGAAGATGGCTCAAGAAATTGGGCCGGCCAGCGCCGCGGCGCTGGCACACCGGGTTCTAGTCCCGGTCAGGGCACCAGATTCTGTCCCGGTTGCCCCTCTTCCAGGCCAGCTCTCTGCTATGGCCCAGGAGTGCAGTGGAGGATGGCCCAAGTGCTTGGGTCCTGCACCCCATAGGAGACCAGGAGAAGCACCTGGCTCCTGGCTTCAGATCAGCACGCAGCACACCGGCCGCAGCGGCCATTGGATGGTGAACTAATGGTAAAGGAAGACCTTTCTTTCTCTTTCTCTCTCTCTCTCACTGTCCACTCTGCCTGTCAAAAAAAAAAAAAAAAAAAAAAAAAAAAAAGAAAAGAAAAGAAAAGAAAAGAAAAAAGAAAAAGAAAGAAAGAAAGAAATTGGGCCCTTTCCATCCACATGGGAGACCAGGATGGAGTTCCTGGCTCCTGGCTCCTGGCTCCTGGCTCCTGGCTCCTGGCTCCTGGCTCCTAGCTTCAGACTGGCCCAGACCTGGCTATCACAGCCATTTTGGGGAATGAACCAGCAGACGTTAAGATCTCTCCATCTCTCCATCACTATGCCTTTCAAACAATAAACAAATCTTCCAAAAAAGACAAAAAGTCCCACAGTATACAATGCTGGGTGTGTATGTCATTCTGCTATTTTGGGCCAAATGTTCAGCCTAGCAGTTAAGATAGCAGTGTCCTATTCCACATTATCTGGGTTTGATGCACAGCTTATGAGGTCAGCTGCCTACTAATGTAGACCCTGAGAGGCACTAGTGATGACTCAAGTTACTAGGTTCCTGCCACCCATGTGGGAGACCTGGATTAAGTAAGTGGCTCTTGGCTTTAGCCTGGCCCAGCCCTAGCCATTGTGGGCACTTGGGAAGTGAATTAGCAGACAGGGGCTCGCCCTCTCAGTTTTTCTCTCTCTGCCTCCAAAATAATTAAAAATAGAAAACAAACTTGCTATTTATTAGTAATGTCTCTTTGGATGGGTTGCCCAATCTCCAGTTTCCTTATCTGTAAAATGGATTAATATTTGCCTACTAGGATTTCCCTAACGAACAGAATAATTTATGTAAGTACCCAACAACATCTATATCCCAATTTTACTATCTTTCCACATCTCCCATATCTTCCCCTGTATTAGGGACATCCGTACATTTCTTAGCCCCCTACTGGAGTTTATGTCTTCTTAGGCTAGTTCCATGTTTGACTTTCCAGGTGTTGCCAGTAACTCTTAGGATGATACCTTTCCAATGACAAACCTTCAAAAGATATTAAGCTGGATATTAATAAAAAGGAAAAGATTGACAGGCAGAGTGGACAGTGAGAGAGAGAGAGACAGAGAGAAAGGTCTTCCTTTTGCCGTTGGTTCACCCTCCAATGGCTGCCGCGGCAAGTGCGCTGCGGCCGGCGCACTGCGCTGATCCGATGGCAGGAGCCAGGTACTTATCCTGGTCTCCCATGGGGTGCAGGGCCCAAGGACTTGGGCCATCCTCCACTGCACTCCCTGGCCACAGCAGAGAGCTGGCCTGGAAGAGGGGCAACCGGGACAGAATCCGGCGCCCCGACCGGGACTAGAACCCGGTGTGCCGGCGCCGCAAGGCGGAGGATTAGCCTAGTGAGCTGCAGCGCTGGCCTGGAAAACATATTTTCTTAAGAAAAGATGATACGGGGCCGGTGCTGTGGTGTAGTGGGTAAAGCCGCCTGCAATGCCGGCATCCCAAATGGACAACTGTTCGAGTCCCAGCTGCTCTACTTCCAATCCAGTTCTGTGCTACGGCCTGGGAAAGCGGTAGAAGATGGACCAAGTCTTTGGGCCCTTGCACTCTCATGGGAGACCTGGAGGAAGCTCCTGGCTCCTGGCTTCAGATTGCTGCAGCTCCGGCCGCTGCAGCCAATTAGGGAGTGAACCAGCAGGTGGAAGACCTCTCTCTGTCTCTCTCTCTCTCTCTCTCTCTCTCTCTGCCTCTCCTTCTCTCTGTATAATTCTGACGTTCAAATACATAAATAAATCTTAAAAAGATTATATGATCACTGAAATGAAATGTAAAAAAAATTACTGGATGGAACTCATGGAATCTTATGATCTAGAGTTTAGTACTTCAAAATAAGATCTAAATAGAAACTCAATTCACAAGAACCTGGATGAGAAATAACACTTAAAATACTTATAAAGCACTGTGAAAACAAAAATTTCTGAATGTTAAAGAAAGAATCTCTACCTAACCATGGCACAGCTCATAGGTTATGGAGAATGAAACCCTGTCACTGTGTCTTCATTATTTTACCTAAAATCCACTCATTGTTCAATTTACTTTGTATGTGTTATCTTGACTTGACTACAGACTGCAGCATGCCATTCCTACTGTCAGGGGGTTACTAAGCATCTAATTTAAGTTTCCTGCACTTCATGAGCCAATGTGAGTATGAGGCCTAAAAGCTAACTAATTAGAAGTATACTCGCAAGTCTCTTTCTAAAAAGTTAATTCTATAGCACTGATTGCTACTTTAGGTTATTCCCAGGAAAAGGCTCAACTGATTCATCTTGTATATTATAGGACAATCTCCAAACAGCAGTCCTGAATGGTATCTATGCAAGTTACCATGTACAGAATCTATTAGCTATTAACTTCCTGCATGTATATTCAATCTCATTTAATTCTAACAACAACTGTCCAATGTAAGAAACTTAATTATCCTCATTTTACATATGAAGATGAAGTTCATGAAGATTAAACTAACTCAAGGACACACAGTTAGAGGGCTAGAGGGTAAGACTTCTACCACACTGCCTATCCACAAACAGGACTCATGGAAGATATACCAGGAAAAAGGCAAAGCATAAAACATAAAGGAAAGGCATGACTCTTGTGACCTATTAAACACAATTTCTGAAGTAATACAACCTACTCACGATTTTAGAAATGAAGCATCTTTCAAGCAAATCTGAAAAATTAAAAAAGACACGTTATAAAGTCTGGTATTGGTAGACTGATATTAATAAGCTAGTTTCTTGTTAATTCTTTAAGCTACAGAATGTATCTAAGTCCTGAGCCAATTTCTATAGAGCACTATCTTAGAAACAAAAAGAAAGGAGGCACAGTTAAGTGGGAGGTCTTGCTTATAGTGCCCAGACAGTCTTAGCTTGAAGAAAAAGGAATTAAAATGAGACTAGAATTAAGTGTGCTTCATTCCTACCCTCCAGTAGCAGACAGGCCCACAATACTTGCCTGAGTGCCCTTCATCAACCAACAGGCAACTCAAGTTCTTTCCTTAGACCCACCAGGAAAGAAGAGGGTGGCATCTGCCTAATCTGAAGCACAATGATCCTTCACTTCTTTGGATCACAATCCTTCTTTAGGAATCTAAAGAAAGTGGACTTCCCAGAAAAACAGGCAGTCTCTCAAAACGTAAATATAACTTCAATAGATTCTATAATTTCTGAAGTCCCTGGTTAGGGGTCTGTGCTACAGAGAATCTAATGTATACCTCATAGGTGGTCAGCAGCACATGAAACTGTAACTCCTGTTTTAGGTCTTGCTGAAGGCGGGCTCTGTCCTCCTTGTCTCCTGCATATGTGACACACGAAAGACCTGGAGCAAATCTGAATCCAAAAAAAGAAGATCGATGAATACAAATGCTAGTGCCAGGGGATGGGATGTGCATATCTGGAAAATCACATTTCATGGCAGGATTCAAACACGAAAATTCCACGTGGTCCTGCGCCCAGCAAGAATCCTGGGGCTCTAAGTCTAATTAAGGGTTAAGTTAAGGGCAAGTTCCCATATGAACAGATAGAAGGGTCAGATCTAATAGGATCTCATGCTGACTACATGTCACTATGAAAAAGACAGTTTCTCCTTTTGTTTAGTAAAATTTCCTAAAAATGAGTATTGACTTTTAAATTGCCACGTAGTTAACAATAATATCACTAGATTCTCCCCCATTAGATCCCACATTACTTTAGTTGGGAGTTTTTTGGAATAAATAAACTCACTGGTCTCAATATGTTGCTCTGCCATATTTTACACATCAACATAGACAGTAAGACTTCAGCCACGTCTACTCTGTACCTCTTCAGCTCTTCTTTCCAGTTGCTCAAAACAGACAAGGGAGAAAGAATCAGAAACGGTCCTTCATCATTTAACCGTCCCGCCAAGTAAATGAAGAGGGCAATAGTCTGGAAAACAGAAAAAGAAGGCAGTTTTGACCACACTCCCCCAGGAGAACCAACCACAAAGTTCCCACAACCCTCTAGAGAACACAGGCCTTAAACAAGATTTGCATTACAAAGAAATAATTCTTCCACACATTAGGAGAGTAATCCATTTCTAAAGTGAGCTTATGTAAGCCTCAATATACTTGCCAAAGAAATTGATGGTGTTTAATAATGTGAAGTTAACATGCAGTGAGGCCCAATACTTATGCAAGTGAATAAAAGTCAGGAAAGACAGAGATGAATAAAAACAATGTGCCTGATGGCAAGACGTGGAAAACTACAGAAACACAGGAAGTGAGAAGAGTGGTCAGTGGTCTCCTCCACAAGAAGAGACATAGCTGAGAGAGTTATAACAGAGAGGGGATCAGTGCACGGGGTGGGGGGCCTCCACCGCCCGCCAGGCTCTCACCCCCCTTCCTTCAAACTTCCTCCTCTCCCTGCTCTTCTCCTTCTCCCACACGTATTTACAGGGAGGCTTCTCTTGGCCAAGCAAACACTGACGGAAGAAAGACACGAATTTTACATAAACCCTCCCAGAAAACTGACAAGGAAGGAATAATCCACAATTCATTCTGTGAGGCCGGTTTGCCCCAATACTAAAATCAGACAAAAACACTGCAAGAAATTACAGAACAATAATAGCATTCATGTACTAGATGTACAAATTCTAAATAAGATTTCAGTGTAGCAAAACAAGCTCAGAGGTGATACATTTTTCCAGGGAGCTTAAAGCAGAGCTGAACAAAAACCCTGGGGAAAGGCAAGCACAAGGGGAGGCCCTGAAGGAAGTCAGGAGGGAGATTCCGATGACCCTGGCAGGACACTGCAGAGGGCGCTTCCCTGAAACAAGAGTTTGTTGTGCAGCTCGGAGACCTCTGGGAAACTGATTTTGTTCTCACTTCTTAGCTTTCAGTTCAGGAATGTACCAGGAACAGGTTTGCCTGAGAAAGCTGTGGAGGGGACACATGAGGTACCTCTAAGATTAATGAAATGTACCTGGCTTGAACACCTACACATACACACATGTGCAAAACTGATCTAGCTTGATGTATATGGATATAAGGTTACTGGAGGGAAAAGCTGACCTTCTAAGAGGGCAGCTGAGGGACCAGCGTTGTGGTGCAGTGACTTAAGCTGCTGCCTGCAGCAACACCAACATACCACATGAGCACAGGTTAGAGTCCTGGCTGCTCCACTGCCCACCCAGCTCCTGCTAATGTGCCTAGGAAAGCAGCAGAAGATGGCCTGAGTGGCTGGGCCCCTGCCACCCACATGGGAGACCAGAATAGAGATCCTGGCTCCTGGCTTCAGCCTGGTACAGACCTGGCTGTTGGGGCCATTTGGGAAGTATTCCAGCAGATGGAAGATCTTGATCTCTCTATCTCCCGTTCCCTCCCTCCTTCCTTCTAACTCTGACACTCAAATAAATAAATTAATTAAGAAAAATATATATACAGCAGTTGAGCCCCTTGCTCACTCTTTGTGTTCACTGTGAAGCCTGCTTGGGATCAGGAATCTCACATCACCATTGTTTCCAGTCAAGTTTTCTCTGCTGTGCATCCTGAGTCATTGGCTTTCTTTGGTCTTCCATGGATAAGTAAACCTTGAGTGATTAACCCGAGAGGTGGCTGTGCCAGCACTTGCCATCAATCCAAACCCACCAGTGACACCTGACAACTCAGGGCAATACCTATGATCATCCTGCCAGAAGCATCATTCTCAAAACAGCACCTGCTAATCAATATCCAAGGAGGCCACATCTGATTCTGCAGGGTTCTAGGTTCTATCTCACCTTCTTTTAAGGCATTCAACGCCCAAGTCATTTTGGAAAACACAGGGCACTTCCTCTGCACTTTTCCAACACGACAGAGAAATGGAAGTAGCCCCACCCTGTCGCGTCCCTCGACCAGCAAGGAAGACACGACCCGAACTCTTCTTCAAGCAGTTTATTCAGGAACCTTGAACAAGCTTCTTCTTCCGCCTCCTTCCCTCTCCCATCCCTCTTATAGCCATCAGCACACCAATCAAAAGCAGCCAAGTGGCAAGGATTGATTGGTACAGCAATGTGGAAGCCAGAAGGGAGCTCAGCCATCTCCTTATTAGGAGTTGTTTGTTTCTCGCCAGTCCTTCCGGGGGGGAAAGGAGCCGGCGCCATCTTTAGGGCGCCGTGCAATGGCTCCCCACACCACCCCCTCACTGAGGAAAGGACACTAATAGTAAAAGTGATCAGGTTAACTTCACAAAGCATTGCTTAGGAAGTCAGAGTCAAGCGGATCCCCAGGCAGGTGTATTTGCTTTACACAGAGAAAAATCCTACGTCCAGGCCCAGTAACTGCAATCCTAACTCAAACACATCTTCTCAGATACAAGTCAAAGGCAACAAACACAAGATAAGCATAGTGACACAATTTAAAACCACCCTCAAAACTAGAAAAATCAAGTCCCAGCTTACAACCTCTTCATAAAGGTCCAGGCATTTCACATCATCGTATAAAAATACGTATCACAGCTGATGGCAATCAGTTGTGAGGAGGTACTTCAGTGGAGGCGCACAGCGGTCACCCCTCAGTAACATACCTGACAGGTCTTACCCAGCCCCATCTCGTCTCCCAGGATGCAGCCATTCTGACAATGGAATCGCTGGGCCAACCAGTTGACTCCCTCCAGTTGATAAGAGCGTAGACGAATCCCTGGAAATAAAAATAAAGCAAATCCAATGAGCAGACATTTTAGCACATGCAAAGGCGTGCTCTAAGGCTTCCAATGAAAAATATGGCCTAAATTCTCATTGACACAAACCTTATTGGCCATATCCTTCGCTGGGACCTATGGACATGCAGATCCTTGATGAGTTTCGAACTATTTCAGACCTAGTCACCATTATACTCAAAGCCATAACACAGCTTGTCATTGTTGCCTGACCCACTTAACAGATGAAGATTTGGTCTATGTACTGCCTGTGTCTCAGGTCAGTGTCCATTCTTGGATATGCAACAGTGCTGATGCAACTTAACAATAAACAACACATGCTTTGCACATTTCTGCTTGCTTAATCACACCAGTCTAAATCTGCCATCAGTGCTAAAGGAAAAAACTTTTATTTATTTTTTTTATATTTTATTTATCTTTTATTTTAACATTTATCTATCTGTATCTATGAGGCAGATGGAGAGCTCCCATATGCTGGCTCACTCCCCCAAACACCCACAACAGCTGGAGCTGGTGACTTGATCCGGGCCTCCCCACTGAGTGGCAGGGACCCAACTGCTAAAGCCATCACCTGCTGTGAAGGAGCAGGGCCAGCACCCAAACTCAGCCACTACGTTATGGATCTGGACACCTTAACCACTAAACCAACACCCACCCCCTAAGCATACTTTTTATATAGAAACTATTAGTAAAATAAACTCTCTGTTAAACTCCAAACTTTTAGAAATTATACTATAATAGAACATTAAAACATTAATAATAATAGTTACTTTTTACAAATCATTTACTAAACTCCAGGGAGAGTAATAAGCAACATGATGTATTTATCTCATTCTTATAACAACATATACAGAACAAAAATAAGACGACTCCAGAAAGTGAAGAAGGAAACCGGGGGGCCAGCATTGTGGCACAGAAGGTAAAGCTGCCGCCTGCAACAACAGCATCCCACATGGTCACTGGTTCGTGTCCCAGCTGCTCCACTTCCAAACCAGTTCCCTGGTAATGGCCTGGGAAGAGCAGTAGATGATGTCCCAAGTGCTTGGGCCCCTGCTACCCATGTGGGAGACCCAGATGAAGCTTCTGGCTTCTTGGGGAGTGAACCAGTAGATAAAGATCTCTGTGTGAGTGTGTGTGTGTGTCCCTCCCTCTCTTTCAAATAAATAAAATGAGGAAGAGGTGGAGAAGAAATCAGCAAGCTGAAAACACCAATTGGTGTAGACTAGAAACCTAAATAAAACACGACCACCAACTAAGAACAAAAGCCTGTTCCTGCTAGAAAGCAGTGGCCTAGTAAAATAGAAGACGTTCAGACAACAGCTCTGTTCTAGCTAAACATCACAAGAAAACGCCTGCAGCCCCACCCACACCGACAACAGTGAAAGCCAAGTGAGGCAACAGTGAAAGCCAAGTGGATTTTTTCACTCATGGCTGTAAAGAGGTGCCGGATGCCCCTGCCAGGACAGTGTCAGGAAAGGTCAAACAGGGAGCAGGATTTTTATTCCCACCACCCGTAACCATCCCCTACCCTCAGTGTCTGCCTTCACCTGCAGTACCGGTGGAGGCCACACAGGGAGCCGGAACTCCCCTCCCCCAGCAGAAAGAAGCAGCCCATTCCACTTCCCCAGCTGTCAGCGAGGGGGGGCCTGAACTTCTGTCTTCCCCCAGCAACAACCTCCTCCTCTAAGCAGTGCCAGATGAAGACAAACTGGAGATGTAAAATACTCGCAACAACACAAAAATGCCCAGGTTCCAACTGCACATCATTCAGCACACCAGAACTGGAAGATTTCAAATTGAACAAAAAAAAAAGATAATGGGTACCAACACCCAGACAATACAGATGTTAGAATTACCTGACAAAGATTTTAAAGCAGTAATGATAAAAATGTTTCAATAGCAACAGCAAACACACTTGAAGAACTGAAGAAATAGAAAACCAAAATCTCAGCAAATAAAAGATCTAAAGAAGAACCAAATGGAAATTTCAAAACTGAAAAATACAATAACCAAGGTAAAAAGCTTGATGAAAAGATGACTAGCAGGGAGGGAAGAATCAGTGACCTAGAAGACTGAACAGAAGAAATTACAGGATCAGAACTGAGAGAAAATACGCTGAAATGCAAATGAACCTCAGAGAACTGCATGACTAAACAAAAGATCTAACTCTGTTCAGTGGTGCCCCATAAAGAAAGGAGAGAGAGAGAGAGAGAGAGAGAGAGAGAGAGAGAAAACAAGAACAGAGCTGGAAAAAATACTCAAAGAAATAATGCTGAAAACTTTCCAAATTTGGCGATAGGCCTGTAGATTCAAGAAGCCGAGTGAAACTAAAACAGGAAAAGCCCAAAGAAACACACACCAAGGCACCTAATCATTAAACTGCTAAAGACAAAGGAAATATCCTGAAATCGGCCAGGAAAAAAAATATTATTTACAGGAGAAAAACTATCTGAGTCACAGAAGGTTTCTCACCAGAAACCATGGAGGCCAGAAGGAAGTGTGAGTGTCACATTTTTCTGTATGAAGAGAAAAGAATTGTCACCCAGACTCCTGTAACTAATGCAAATATTCTTCAGGAATGAGTGGAAAACCAAGACAATCTCAGATAAAGGAAAACTAGGATAATTTGCCACCCACAAATCTACCCTCATAGAAAGGCTAACGAAAGTTCCTGGAAGAAAAAAAAGAAAATGATAAAAAATGGAACCTTGGAACATGAAGGAGTGAGAACACAGCAAGCAAAGCGATGCACTAACAGACCAGGCTTCCTTCTCGAGTTTTCTAAATGGTGCTCAACAGCTGAAGCACAAGTGATGACACTGTCTTCTGTGGTTCTAAAGGCATGCTGAGGAAACAGTTAAGACAAGTATGTTACAAACAGGGGGAGGTGAGGTTTCTATACTTAGGTAAAAACCACAACATCAGTAGTTTGTGAGTATGAGAGTACTTTTGGATAGTTCGTGGAAAATGCTATCTTTAAATTCCATTTGTCCACAAACCTTTTGAGGCACATATGTATGACAACCATATACAAAGATAAACTCAATAACATCATAGGTAAATCATAATGAAATTCTAAAATAATATTCAAGCAATGCACAGGAAGCCAAGAAAGAGAAACAAAAAAAGAGAGAAAAAGAGAAAGAGAAAAACAGTAAGATAAATAAAAAATATTAAAAATAGGGAGCAGAGGGGCCGGTGCCGTGGCATGGCTTGTAAAGCCACTGCCTGCAGTGTCAGCATCCCATATGGGCACCAGTTCGGATCCCAGCTGCTATACTTCCGATCCAGCTCTCTGCTGTGGCCTGGGAAAGCAGTGGAAGACAACCCAAGTCCTTGGGGCCCTGCACCTGTGTGGGAGACCCGGAAGAAGCTCCCGGCTCCGAAGATTGGCACAGCTCTGTTTCGGCCAATTAGGGAGTGAATCAGTGGATGGAAGACCTCTCTCTCTCTTTGCCTCTGCCTCTCAAGTAAATAAATCTTAAAAAAATAAATAAATAAATAGGGAACAGGTATTCAGCCTAGTGGGTAAGATGCCCATATCCCATGTCAGAGTTCCTCATTTTGACTCCTGGCTCTGGCTCCTAACTCCAGCTGCCTGCCAGTAAAGACCCTGGGAGAAAGCAGGTGCTGGCTCAAGCAATTGGGTTTAGCCACAGCCCAGCCCCAGCCTTGCAGGCATTTGGAGAGTAATAGATAGGAATGCTCACACACTCTCACTCTTTCTCTCTGCCTCTCAAACACATAAATAATTTTTAATTGCAAATAAAATGACAGACTTAAGAACCTATATATTAATAATTACATGAAATAAGTGGTTTGGCAATTAAAAGACATGGATTGTCAAAGTGGATTTAAATACATAACCCAATTAATATAGTTTCCAAGAAACTCATCTTAATTATATAGATAGGACAAAACTAAAAGGATGAAGTGGTAGGCACAACAGTAGCCCTCACAAAGATGTCCCAACTGGGAATGGGAGAGGGAAGAGGAGGAGGGGTGGGAGTATGGGTGGGAGGGTGGATATGGTGGGAAGATTCACTATATTACTAAAGTTGTACTTATGAATTTGTATTCTTTAAATAAAAGGTTTCTTTGGGGAAAAAAATTAAATTAAAATAAATCTTAAAAAAAAAAGTCTCAAGTCCTAATTCCAGAATCAGCAAGTATGTCACCTTCCATGGCAAAAGAGACTCTGCTAAGGGTGAGGGCCCTGCGATGCAGCCATCACCTGAAGCAGCCTGAAAGACCCAGATGGGCCCAATCTAATCACATGTGTCTAGAAAAGGAGAACCTTGACCAGAAGGATCTAAGAGACGCACTATTGCTGGCTTTGAGGATGGGGGAAAGGAAACACATTCTCCCCCCCGAGCCCCAACGCCCAACAACCGTAGCATATACACCTTCTGAAGTGCCAGGGGACGTAAAATACATTTAGGGCTGTGTTAGTCAGCTTTTCATTGTAAGACTCCTGAGAGGAGCTACTGCAGAAGGAAGGTTTATTTGAGGGTCCCAGCCGAGGAGCCGGCGGCCCCATTACTCTGGCATCTGATGCTATGTGGAGGATCATATGGTGAGCCAGGAGGCAGAGGACACAGGGAGTCTGCTCTTCCTCCAGCTTCTATGTGGTCCTTTGTTAAGAAGTCATGATTCAGGGGCCAGCGCTGTGGCACAGCGGGTTAAAGCCCTGGCCTGAAGCGCTGCCATCCCATATGGGTGCCGGTTTGAGACCCGGCTGCTCCACTTCCGATCCGGCTCTCTGCTATGGCCTGGGAAAGCAAAGGAGGATGGCCCAAGTCCTTGGGCTCCTGCACCCACGGAGGAAGCTCCTGGCTCTAGATCAGCCCAGCTCCGGCCGTTGTGGCCAACTGTGGAGTGAACAGTGGATGGAAGACCTCTCTCTCTACCTCTCCTTCTTTCTTTGTGTAACTCTGACTTTCAAATAAATAAATAAATAATTTTTTTAAAAAAAAAGTCATGATTCAAACACTTGGCTCTACCCTAGCAAGGTAGGCTGAAGGCCTAGCAAGGTAGCTGAAGGCCTCACCTTCAGATACCACACTGAATCAACCCTCCACAGTGAATCCATCAACCGTGAATCCATGAATCATGAACATCAGATTTGGGGGCTTAAAAGTCTACAAGAGTCTGGGGTTCCAAGTACTGTTCGAGCCATAACAAAGGCTACAAACTTAAAAGAAATATATAGTATGTGTTCTCTGACCCACATAAGAATCAATTTGGCAAGCACCTACAGAAATTTAAGTAAAAAATCTCCAACCTCTTAGAAACTGAAGAACACACTTCTAAACAGCCTGTCAAAGAGGAAGCCTCGAGGGAAATGAACACACTGAGCTAAATGAAAATACAACACATCGAAGTCTGTAGGGCGGGGCTGGTGTTGTGGTGCAGTGGGTTGACACCAGCATGCCATATGGGTGCTGGATCATGTCCTGACTGCTCCACTTCTGATCCAGCTCCCTGCTAATGCACCTGCAAAGGCAGTGGGAGGGCCGGCGCCACGGCTCACTAGGCTAATCCTCCGCCTGCAGTGCCAGCACCCCGGGTTCTAGTCCTGGTTGGGGCGCTGGATTCTGTTCTGGTTGCTCCTCTTCCAGTCCAGCTCTCTGCTGTGGCCCAGGAAGGCAGTGGAGGATGGCCCAAGTGCTTGGGCCCTGCACCCGCATGGGAGACCAGGAGGAAGCACCTGGCTCCTGGCGCCGGATTGGCACAGCATGCCAGCTACAACGTGCGGCCATAGCGGCCACTTGGGGGTGAACCAACGGAAGGATAGACCTTTCTCTCTGTCTCTCTCTCACTAACTCTGCCTGTCAAAAACAAACACAAAAAAAGCAGTGGGAGAAGACCCAAGTACTTTGGTCCCTTAGCAATATGGGAGACCGGGATGAAGTTCTAGGTTTCTGACTTCGGCCTCGCCCAGTCCCAGCCATTTGGGGAGGTGAACCAGCAGATGGAAGATACATCTCTCCCTCTCCTCTCCCTGTAACTGTCACTCAAATAATTAAAAATAAATCTTTAAAAGAAATCATAGGGTTAAAAACTAAGTTAAAATAGATCATGGGCATAGACATAAAACTACTTTAGGAAAATAAAGTAACTTCAGGATCTGCAACCAGGCTATGAGTTCTTAACAGCTGACACCAATAACAATTAGGAAAATTGAAAAAGTTTAGCTAAAATTTCTGCAAACCACATATCCAAGAAAATACTAGTATCCAAATTATATAAAGAATTCTCAAAACTAAAGAGAAGAAAAATCCAATTAAAAATGGGATATGTGTATCGTTAGCCAAAAGGAAAATCATATTAAAGCCACAATAAGATGTCACTCCACACGTAAAATAGTCAATTTTAAAATCACAATATCAAACACTGGCAAGGATGTAGAAAAAGTGGATCTACCCAACCACACTTGTGCGCCCAGCTGCCAATCAGACTAACCACTCCCTTATGAAAGTAGATTAAAGGCCTGGAGCAGGTGGGCCCTTCTTTTTCCTTCCTGCCCTTGATCCCCTTGCTGCCCGCGCCGTCGGCCATCCGCTCCGTGCTTTCGGGTCTGCATGCTCCTCTGTGGCTGGCTTTTGGCCTGCTCTCAACTCTGGATGAATCCAGATTTCCCTTTCTCTTTTAGAGAGCGCCCGCACTCTCCTACGCATTTCTCTCGCTCAATAAAAAGCTTAAAAACTTATCAGGCTGCCTGGTTTATTTTACCAGTATTCAGAATTCTCTGAATTCACGGCAAGAGCCCACAAGGCTTATTAATACGGAAATATTAATAAGCAAATTGGTATCAGTACTGCCACTCTAGAAACAGTTTAAAAATTAATCATGCGCACACCAGGTTCTAGTCCCAGTCCGGGCGCCGGATTCTGTCCCAGCTGCCCCTCTTCCAGGCCAGCTCTCTGCTGTGGCCAGGGAGCGCAGTGGAGGATGGCCCAGGTCCTTGGGCCCTGTACCCCATGGGAGACCAGGAGAAGCACCTGGCTCCTGCCTTCAGATCAACGCGGTGCGCCAGCCGCAGCACACCAGCCACGGCGGCCATTGGAGGGTGAACCAACAGCAAAGGAAGACCTTTCTCTCTGTCTCTCTGTCTCTCACTGTCCACTCTGCCTGTCAAAAAATAAATAAATAAAAAGAAAAATAAAAAAAGAAAAAAATTAATCATGCAACTACACACGACCTAGCCACAGCAGTTCTACGTGTTTATCAGAGAAATGAATATTTATTTGTACACAAAAACCTGTACATGGATGTCTTATAATACTTCTTTTTGTAATAGCGAAAACTAGAAATAATTCAGTTCAACTGTGATATATCCAGATCTGGGATATAAAATACTCGCAACACATTTTTCAGGATGCATCATCGTCATGAAGCAATGCACGAACCTGGGGAGAGGGTAAAGGAGCAAAAAATACCAATTATCTTATCTTAAGGATTTCCTATAGGGCATTAGAATATTTAAAAAAACAAAACCTGTTGAAAGGGCTGGAGGAATGGCCTCCAAGATAAGCTTCCAAATACAAATGCCAGATCCTCATCACAGAAGCAGCCAGGAAGCCAGGACCCAACCAGGAGGCCACTGCACCTTCACCCCAGGAACCCACCACCTCGGCTCAACACTCGCCAGCAAAACAGATGCCCCTCGTGCTGCCCAGGAGGGAGCAGTCAAGAAAAAGCAGAATACGCAAGCCCCTCCCACACTGCCCCAGGAGGGAGCAGTCCAGAAAAAGCAGAACACGCAAGCCCCTCCCACACTGCCTGTGGCCTCACTTCAGCCTTCCAATTGCAGTTATCTGCACAACAGAACTGGAGAGGAGCTGGGAGAGGTATCCCTTCGGTTTTAACCTCTAGGATGCAGATTCTCTTGCCCGTGTCTCAGGCAGATGACAAGCAGTGAAAAAGGACTTTAGGTTCCCCCTTAGAAGCCAAAGATGAATATCCAAATGTCCATCGATACTAGCAAGTGATGAGAGCATTACATCTCAAATCAAGAAACGCCAGGGTCGTGAGAGTATGCTGACATGAGCAAAACGTTTGCATACTCTTCTACAATTGCTGCCTTTCGGGAAATAAAAATCCAGGGCTTTGACAAACACTTGGCTACAAGGAGATGTATTAGTGTTACATTTTAGAAAGAATCTAAACAAGTAAGAGTAGCTGGCAGCAGGCGCTGCTGCTCACTAGGCTAATGCTCCGCCTTGAGGCGCCGGCACACCAGGTTCTAGTCCCGGTTGCCCCTCTTCCAGGCCAGCTCTCTGCTGTGGCCAGGGAGTGCAGTGGAGGATGGCCCAGGTGCTTGGGCCCTGCACCCCATGGGAGACCAGAAGTACCTGGCTCCTGGCTTCGGATCAGTGCGGATCAGTGCGGTACGCCGGCCGTAGCAGCCATTTGGGGAGTGAACCAATGGAAGGAAGATCTTTCTTTCTCTGTCTCCCTCTCTGCCTGTCACTAAAGTATATCCACGTACTGAAACTTTCTGTAACCATCACAAATGATGTTGAAGATGACTAAATGACAAGGCAGCAAATAAAGATTTCCAAAAAGTCTGTACACAAAACACCATTTTTGCATTGTCCCCCTCCTCAAAAAAAAGGGGGGGGGGTTACATATACACGTGGAGCAAAGACAGGCCAGCGGACGTGTTAAGAGGACTGCTGATTCGCGTTCTGTGTGCAGAGGCTACCATCCCGGGTGCGCCGCTTCTGGGATCAGAAGGAAAAACAACCCAGAACGAATTCAACCAAGACACAGAGGAGAGTTTCTCCGAATGCCCGCCGAGTCTGCCAGCCAGAAAAAGGCCCGTATTCAGCAGGGACTCCGTGCCCACACCGGCTTTCTCCGCCTCTTTCCCCCACTGCCAGTCTGCGGCTCCCCGCCGGCGGCGTCACCGACCAAGCCCGCACCCCGCGCGGGCTTTCCCGCAACACACACACACACACACACACACACGCCTCCCGCCTGAGCGCCACACACCGCCGCACCTTCCGCGTCCTTCCTGGAGCCACAAAACCTCGCTCAGGAAATGCGCGTCCAGAATCGCGGGCGCGTCGGGGACTCTGCGGCGGGCGACCCCGGGGGCGCGCGGCGGCCGCGGCCCACGACCCCGAAGAGCGGGTGAGGAAAGGGCCGGCGGCCCGCTCCCCCGGACTGTGGGGGCCCGCGGGCGGCGCGGAGGGACTCGAACCCGTGGCCTGGGTGGGGACGCGCACGCTCGGCGCGAGGGACTGGGGGTGCAAGCACCGGGGCCGCCCCGTCCGGTAACTGCGCGTGCGCAGGAGGCCGAGCCGCCCCCTGAGGCCGGGCGGCGAGTTCCGACGGTTCCCCGGAACCCCCCGGGCCTGACCTCGGAGCCCGCCCGAGCGGAAGCTGCCCGGCCACACTTCGGAAGCGCCAGGGGCGGCCGCCGCCTCTCCGCCCGGCCCAAGTTTCCCTCCCCGCGGGGTCCTGGGGCCGGACGCGGGGCCTCGTTCCGGGTCCGCGACCTCACTCTCCCCGCGTGCGCTAGCGCCGCGCGCCAGCCTGCAGGGGCCACGGGCCCGGACGTGGCTTCCTGTCCGTCCGGCCGCACTGCCGAGAGAAAGAAGGCCCTGGCGCCGCCGGGTGAGCAGCCCGCACCCGCGTCGCGCCCGCCCGCGGCCAGGCCCTCCGGGTTGTCTCACCCGTGCGCACGTTCTCCCAGAGCCTACTCACCTGTCAGGCCCCACTGTTGTAAGTCCTGCTCCTGCACCCGCGTGCGCACCGGCTCGGCTCTGCCCTGGGTCTGGAGGGCCAGCAGGAAGCCGGGTTTGTTGCCCTCCATCAGGCTGCGAGACGCTCCGCCCGCCGCGCTGCGCGCCTTTCCTTCTCGGCGCGCGGGGTGCCGAGCCGCCCGCCGCCGCCGCCAGGGGGCGCGCTCTGCGCGAAATTCTGGACCGAGTTACTCCTAGGGGCTCCGTGAGGAAATCAGTGTGCTTCTGGTGTGCCTATGCGCGTGTAAGGCCACTGTCTGCCCAGAATGCCCACCTAGGGGTCAACATGAGCCCGAGCCGACTGTCATGCTCAGAGACTCGGCTGGGCTCTGGGGAGTGCGGAATTCAGTAAGACCCGAGCTCTGCCCTCCAGCGTTTCACAGCAAGGTTGCATAGCCCCGTGTGCTCAGCTGAGTTTGCATGAGTGGTTTAGGCCCCCTAAATCCCCTTCCTAATTCCCTGTTAGCTGAAAGCCACAGTTAGGAGCTGCAGCATTGCAGTAAATCCAAATCGTGAAAGATGTCATTGCTGCAATGCGTTTTGGGGAGCAAGTCAGAGTAGAGCAGTGTGTTAGGTTAGGAGTCACCGCACAGAGAGAGGGAGAGGGAAGGACAGATCTTCCATCTGCTAGTTCACTCCCCAGATGGCGACAAAGACTCCATCCTGGTCTCTCACATGGGTGGCAGGGACCCTAGTGCTTGCACCATCTAATGCTGCTCTCCCAGGTTCGTTAGCAGGGAGCTGGATTGGAAGTGGAGCAGGTGGGACTGGATCCAGCACCCACATGGAATGCCAGTATCACAGGTGGTGGCTTAACTCACCGCATCACCCCCACAAAACACTCTTTTTTTTAAGATTTATTTATTTATTTGAAAGTCAGAGTTACACAGAGAGAAGCAGCAGAGAGAGAGAGACAGTGGTCTTGCATCTGCTGGTTCATTCCCCAGATGGCCACAACGGCCAGAGCTGCGCCAATCCGAAGCCAGGAGCTTCTTCCAGGTCTCCCATGCAGGTGCAGGGGCCCAAGGACTTGGGCCATCTTCTGCTGCTTTCCCAGGCCACAGCAGAGAGCTGGATGGGAAGAGGAGCAGCCAGGACTAGAACCACCCATATCAGATGCTAGCGCTTCAGGCCAGGGCATTAACCCATTGCGCCACAGCGCCGGCCCCCACAAAACACTCTTTATGACACTGGAGCTAGACTGCTAATCTCATGGGGCTTAAACGGGGAGATGGGCAGTAAAATTAAGTTACTGCTCAATGCTAAGACATAAATAAAACTGTCACATAATGGAGCTATCTTGATTTCATACTGCAGCTTTCCCACTCGAGTTTTCCCTCAGAACCTTAGATTTATTCTTCAGTGGCTTCTCTAAAGTGCCTCTGTCCTATGTGGCTGCCATTTTTTTTAACTTTTATTTAGTAAATATAAATTTCCAAGGTACAGCTTATAGATTACAATGGCTTCCCCCCCCATAACTTTCTTCCCACTCGCAACCCTCCCATC